GGTGGTGGGATATTTCAATTTCATAGTTCCCCGAAGGCGAATCAATTTTTATTGCATTAAATTAATTAAGCTAATCTCTTTTACAAACTTTTTATGAGCATGCATTGCAGTTTTTTCGCTTTAATTGCACTTAAACATCATCATATAGTTAAAAATATTCTAAAGTATTCAAGTACTGTAAATGAATATCTTATAGTTAAAAATAACCCAAACATCATCATCCTTTTTCTATGTTGCATAATAGAGGATAGTGAAGTGAAACTCTTAGAAACTCTGGATATTTAACTGATGTCATTTATAAATTTTGGGGCATTTATATAGATCGGGTAAACAAGAAGGCATTGATGCAATATTTTAAAACTTTAAGCGTTTATCTATGAAAATTTAGGTACTTTGAGATATTTTTTTTCAAATTGGAAAAAAATCACTTAAGTGCAAGGTCTTTAAGTGCAATTAAGCACTTTTTCTTATACCCTTTGTACTTTTTCTTCTTTTTCTTGTGACTGGTAGGCTCTGGGTACTAGTTGTACAGCAGCATGAAAAAAGAATTCACAACAAAGGATCCGCAAGAAAATGGTACAATATGAAATATTATATTTCAAGTTAAAAACCTATAATGGACATCTTTGTTAGCTGAAAAATCATATATTATATGGAGTAGGATATTCATAGCTAATAATATTCGTACTATTGTATATGTAAGGGCAAATTACACTAAACCCAAGAAGTTGTAAAACCGCAAAAGCTTTTAAAATACACTAAGGGGCTGTTTGGTTTACTTTCATAAAATTATGGAAATGAATTCTCTGACAAGAAACCAAATTTAAATTTTTTTTTTAGGATATGAAAGGAATCCAAAACTTCTGTATGATATGGAATGATAAAGTAAAGAATAGGAAAGCATATCCAAAACTCAAATTTGTTTCTTTTCTAAATAATAAGAAGAGTTAGTGAGAGGAAATGATGAGTTGTCAGCGGTTTGTCAGTTTTCTAACCCATTTCCTAGCCAAAAGATGGGTTGTCCAAAAAAAATCACTGTTTAGAGGCTTTTTAAGAAACATTTTCTTAAAAAAAATTTGAAACAAACCCAACTTTTGGAATCCTAAAATGACAAAAACCTACTTTATGTTCCGAATCCTAAAAAAACACCTTGTTTCCAATAATTTAGGGTGAACCAAACACGCCCCTAGACCTCTAGCAACATTGGAATTCCAAAAACAAAACAATAAGCTTTCACGTTTTGCATATAATGCCGATGACAGCATTAATCCATATTTATGATCTAAAATCCATTGGCAATGTAAAATGTAGACTTACACTAGCAAGGGGGTTTATCTGCCAAAGCACGGAAGGGTAATCTGCAAAGTGGGGAAACCTACTGCAGGTTTGCTGCAATTCCAATAGTTATTAGGAATTTAGTGTGGTTTAGAAGTTTTTGGGGGTTTACTGCAAGAAACTAAAACTTCTTGGTGTTTAGTGTAACCTACCCTTCTAATTTTTTTTTGTGTGTCCTGATATCTTTGATGAGTTACTTTGATGAATAAATTCTGGTCCTGCTCAAACAATACACAGCACATTTCAGTTCGATTTTCTATGTTACACCTGCAAACTCCAAGTCCAAATGCAAGAGAAATCCCCCTTAATATTAAGGACATTTTTCTCCACTGAACATGTTGACCACTTTGTGAGCAATTACTATGTAGCTTGAATTGCACATAGATATACAGTGCTAGTTTGCAAGAGTAATGTCTTTAATATACCTGCTACTCCCATGATACTGCTTCAAGTCATTAAAACTATCAATACCACTGGTTATTAATCTTTTTATGTCGTTCTTTGTATCGCCTTTTCTTCTCATCCCAACAAAATTTATTCTGAGCATAAAAGCAAACCACAATGTTCATAATCAAATTCCAAGATTTCAGGGTACTTTTAGGCATCATACATGGCAGTTGGCAGTTGTCAATCTCCGCTCACAGCAAGGAACAGCTCATAGCTGAGAATGCTGACGACATTTGAGTTATATCTGCTACCAAAGCCTTTGTGATCTATACATCTTGATGCCTGCAAGGACCAAAGAAGCCTGTATAATTAATTGATCAAAAACTCCATTGACAAAAAAAAATGTTGTTAGCCCGGTAGTATTTCACAGTAGGCTACTAGCACTTTGATGAGCGTGAGAAGGATGAGCCAGGTTCATTAAAGTTTCCACCAAAAGAAAAGAGAAAAAACTTCAAGAGCACTATCTATGTTTCATCAATTTATGCTTAACATTCGCGATGAGACCATACAACAAAGAAAAGTAACTTGGAGGCTGCAATCAAATGAACTGTGGGTTTTCACATTTTCTGCCGGCACCAGATCCACAGTGTAGTGAGTTTTCGTTGCCATTCTGTTTTCTGGCTAAGCAAAGTAAACAATGCTTTCTTGACAATACTCATATTAACTGATTAGAAAGCTGATTTCTTATGTGCATGATACTCATATGCACATAAAAACTGTGTCTGCCTCACTTCAAATGCACATGATGACATGATTATTAACAAGTATCAGTCACCGTATGATTTTGCAAATATGATAATCTTATCTCCTCCATTGAGTCTTGTTCATAGTATCTCCAAAGAGCCCAGTTGACGTCCTTGCCCAGTGATTGAACCCATCATATTCTTGGCCTCACCTCTTGTAACTATATCATAATATTTTTATTAGATGTTGACATTGTTATCCATTAGATATGCATCAATGTAAATGACCCCCTAATGCACCATCTTTGGCATTCAAAATTTTATAAAAATCAAAAATGGAGATTTTCTGTTATTTGAACAGTCAATTAGTGCTCTTTTAAAGGAGAGCACTGCCTGGCTGACAAAGAATGTAAAAGAATCTTACCAAGATGATGAAGGAACACTAAAGAGAAATATCTTGCATTAAAAAAAGTAGCTAAAAAATCATAAATGGAAAGTACGTTAATCAAATAAGAATTATTTTGTGCAATGATGACCTTCTTGACTGATTGTTTTAGACCCAGTTGGTATTATTAAAGAAACTTAATGTATTCCATCTTACTTCAAACTATATATTCTGAGTTGTAGGTCCACCTTTGCCATTCTCACTGAACTTTTTCACTCTTATGAACATAGGTAGCTAGGAAACTTGACAACTTAGTGCTCAAGAATTCCTTTGACTTCTTCAATCCAGATGCAGAAATTGTAACCAGTTTCTCAACTTCTTCTTCACATTGTTCATATATTATGAAGAAGGAGAACAAGCAAATAACGCCTGCGCAAAGGGGGCAAAAAAAGGATGAGTGCATTGAACAATCACCATAAGCTTTTGAAATATTATGTTCAGTCACATACCAATAGCAATCAATACTGAGAAGGAGAATGGCAACAGCAGTTTGACCAAATACAAAGAACCAATCACCTGATAGTTAAGCAGAAACAAACCAAAAATAGATATCAGCCACCTGTTAAACATACTTGAATTAGATCTGCATCCAATGCTTATTCTACTACGTATGCGCCACATACTTGGAGGAACAATAACTAGAACTTCAGTATGGATGTAAGCTCTGTAAAGGAATTATATATCCCATGAATAGTACAATTGCAAAGAAACATGTCTAAGCATGCCAAGAACTTATGTTAGATCTTGCGAGAAATAAAACAATGTTACATATCAAAAGCTTCCATTAGGAAATTACGGTTTGCGTAACTTAAATATGGTCTGTGAATGAGCAGTTCAATGTTCTAACCTACATTATGCAAGCACAAAAGCTTAACAAAACATATTCATACAAACCCACAATTAATATAACAATTACAAGCACGTGCCAAGAAAGTCGAATAATTCCTCTAACCTTTATGAAGATATTCCAATTGCCTCCTTCAGATACTGACTTCAATAAAGATAAACCATTGTTCCAGATAGATGCTATGGTGTTAAGCGAGTGCCTCACAACTGATTCTGAGACCTCAAAGTAAGACGAGGGCATCTTCTCGATAGAAAAACCAAACCTGACATGCAGAAAGAAATCTTGCATTAATGTAATGGCTTGACACAACAATTTGCTTTTGCATTCTGCACACTGTAAAAGCACTGCATATAAAATTTCTTCCACACTTGCACACACAACTATGTCTGATGTTGGTGTTTGAAGGTTACGTTTGGAACTGAGGACTTCCGCCAGAAGACTAGTAGTTCATATATTAAATGGCCTCTAGCTTTATGTGACGATCACCACTTTCAACTACACTCAGATACTACTCTTGTGTTTATGCATTATATCATAAATAAAAGGACCTCCTACTCATCTAATTTTTTTTTTTTAAATCTGTGCTTTTATGAGGGAAAGCAGAACTGAGCATTTGCAACTGCCAAACTTTTTGATGGAAGACTATTGAACGAATTGTCAGGGTACACACCAAAAATAACGTCTCGAACGGAGACGTAATACACAGAATAAAGGCACAAAACTCAATCACAGTACTCACAGATATACGTGGTTCACTCCTTCGGAGATACTCCACGGTGCAACGACGACGCCAAATTCTTTTATATCCCAAAAAAATAGATCAAAGAGAACATCCTCTTTTGATCAGAAACACTCCAAGAACTCTCACAATCTCTCTCTGTGTTTTCTCTCTTATTCTTCTATGAGAGGAGTTGTTTCTGGGATGAGTTTTTCTTAAGAGTTTAGGATCCTAATTATAGTGTTTGGAAAAATACTATGCACTAATAAAATATATTGGTGGGACCTGCCTTTGTGGGCCCACAACCCTTTTTTCAAACTTCACCTAAAATTAGATAGCCAAACTCTCTTTTGTCAAAAAAGTAGGGTTGGGGCTGCTAACAATCTCCCACTTCAAGATTTGATTGAGTATCAATCATATCTTCACACCACTCTTGGTTGCATCATCCGGATATCTTGTATCTTTAGCGTCTTGCACGGCCCTCAACATTCTCAACGGATGCCATATGAGGTTGCACACAGCCTCACCTTCTAGAGCGGAACTGACTTGGTCAGCATATCGGCTGGATTGTACCTCGTATCAATATTCACAAGCTTGAACTCGTTCCTGCTTTTCCATCTCCGTATGGCATGGTGCTTCAAGTCAACATGCTTAGTCCGAGCATGAAATGCGTCGTTCTCTGACAAGTGAATGACACTCTGACTATCGTAGTGGATGAAGTATTTCTCAAAGCTTACTCCAAGCTCGAGATGAAAAGCCTTCAACCATAGCAACTCCTTTGCTGTCTCTGCTGCAGACACGTACTCGGCTTCGGTTGTTGACAAAACCACAATATCCTGTAACTTGGATCTCCAACTTATCGCTCCACCATCCAAGATGAAGATGTAGCCGTTCGTGCTCCTTATTGAGTCTATATCTCATGCGTAGTCTGCATCACAAAAGCCCTCTAACTGCAAATCTGTCCCGCCATACTCAAGACAACAGTCGGACGAGCATCTCAAGTAGCGTAGAAGCCACTTGACCGCACCCGTGTTGTTTCCCCGGATTGCTCATGAAGCGGCTCACAACTCCCACTCCTTGTGCAATATCTGACCTTATACACACCATCGCATACATCAAACTCCCGACGACAGATGCGTATTGTATGTTGGCCATGAACTCATACTTTTCAGCAGTCTCTGGTGCTTGGATCTTCGATAGCTTGAAATGACTTACAAACGGTGAGCCCACTGGTTTAGCTTTCTCCATGCCGAACTTTTCAAGAATCTTCTCAATGTATACCTTCTGAGACAACCTCAGCCTCCGTGCTGATCTGTCGGAATCTGGTTTGCTGGACCCAAATCCTTCATCTCGAAGCACTCAGTGAGACGCCCCTTGAGTTCTTTAATGCGGGCCAAGTCGAGCCATGTAATCAACATGCCATCAACATAAATCAAGAGTATCACATAAGATTCGTCATATCTCTTGATGAAGCAACAATAGTCTGTGTCACATTTGAGAAAACCATTCTCCTCCATAAAGTTTTCAAACTTCATGTACCACTGTCGCGGAGCTTGCTTCAGGCCATACAAGCTCTTGCGCAGGAAACACACGAGGCCTTCCCTGTCTCGTTCCTCAAAGCCCACCGGTTGATGCATATAGATCTCTTCCTCCAAATCTTCATGAAAGAATGCCGTCTTCACATCTATCTACTCTATATGGAGATCTCGAACTGCCACAATGCTCAGCACAGTCCGGATCGTGGTCAACTTGACGACGAGAGCGAAAACGTCAGAATAGTCTATCCCTGCTTTCTGCTCATAGCCCTTCACTACAAGCCTCGTCTTGTAGCGTCTCCGTCCATCGACTTCATCCTTGACCCGATAAATCCATCGATTGTGAAGAGCCTTTCTCCCTCTTGGAAGTTTTATAAGGTCCCAAGTCCTATTCTTCATCAAGGACTTCATTTCTTCCTTCATGGCAGACTCTCACTCGCCCCGAGCTTTACCGGTCTGCTGTACCTCCTCATAGCTTTCTGACTCACCATTGTCAGTCAGAAGAAGATAATTCATAGTGGAAAGGAACCTCTCTGGCACCATTGGATTTCTTGGAGTTTTGCGAATTGCGATCGGTAACTTTACTGGATCCTGCTGTTGTACATCCGGCACGTTCTCTTGGTCTCCGTCTTCTATGCTGATAGGTATTGCACCGTCATCCTCACTGTTAGTAACATCTAGGAAAAGAGGGGGAGATAGCTGACTCTCACTCACCTCTTTGGGCTTGTACATTGCATTCTCATGGAGCACGACGTCACGACTGCGCACCACCTTGCGCGTATCGTGATCCCAGAAATGATACTCATACTCATCTCCTCCATAGCCGATGAAAGAGAGTTTCTTTGACTTTGGATCAAGTTTTGATCGGTCTGCAGGATTGGTCATGACATAGACATCATAACCAAATACTCGCAATTGCTCTAGTTTTAGCTTTTTTCTGGTCCAAGCCTCTTCAGGTATCCTATAATTAAGAGTCGCGGATGGCCCGCGGTTGATCAAGTATGCAGCAATATTGACAGCTTCGACCCAAAAATTCCTAGACAATCCGGAGTGGTAGGGGTAACCAAATGGTCGGTTCGGTCGGTCAGTTCGGTCGGTTTTTATCAAATTTTGAACAACCGAAACCGAACCGCCCATTATTCAAAACCGAACCGAACTGTTGCAAGTCGGTTCGGTGCGGTTCGGATCGGTTTGTTCGGTTCCAACTTCATCCAACAAACAAATGCATTCAAAATTTGAGCGTCCATTCTTGATATATTCGGCAATATTAAATTTAAAATGCTTGAGAAAATAGGTACCTGTTTCTGGAATCCAACCCCGAAAGCTCTTGTGACCTTCAACGAGCCTTTCACCCGATCATTCACAATCGCCGAAATGTTATCAGGATGCTCGCTCCTGATCCTAACAACCTCCAGCAATCAAAACACGCACAAAAAACACGCATCAAAATCATATGATCAATCAAATCAAATAACGTTAAAATCCAGCGAAATGAACAATTCAAAAACCAGCCCTTCACCTCTTTAACACAGGTACTGCGATCCAGTGTAAGTTGCAGAGTGACCAGATCGAGCAATTCATCATCCACCTCCTCGTTAATGCTCCTCAAGTCCCTCCTCCCCTTCATCCCAAAATTGCTCAGCTGTCGCCGACGTTCATCAGGTAAACATCCTGCCCTTTCATCACCGTCACCAAAACACAAGAACCCATCAAAGAGAGCTCCGGATTCTCGGAGACCATCATGCCAGCGCAACCCAAGAAGGTCTCTTCGGTCCTCATCAGCGCCCAAGACAGAGCCTTGAGCACCTCGCCGTGGGTTTCCTCGCCAAGATCCAGTATTTCGAGCTCCTTTTGTTCTGGACCTCATGGTAGAGGTTTGTGAACAAGTCCATTGTTGGATGACTAAAGAAATTTGAGACGGAGGAGTTGTAGTGGATCTTGATCTCGAACGTGGCGGTGCAGGGCTCGTCGATGCGGAGGCTAAACTGGCCAGCGTCGTCGTCGGGAGCTTGGAGGACTGAGCGTCGAGGACTTGGGACGGAGCAGCGACGGCTGAAGAGTGAGATTGGAGCAAGGTTTTAAATATCGGTTATCGGGGATTTATCGGACGGCCAAAATCCTTATCGGATAAAGGAAAAAGGGGATATATCGGGGATAAGTAGTATTTATCGGAGTGATATACTGGATGATGTGTATATATAATATAACAATTAAAAAATATAATCTAATCATGCTTAATGAAATATAAATATACCAAAATGTAAATCATCATGTTTAGAATCATTAACCAATTGTAGAAAGCGAAACTTGCATCATAGCCTTGAAAAAATATAATGTTAGTCAAAATGGGCCGATAATCCCGATAATCCCGATAAAAAAGTCTTACTTATCGGCCGATAAGTGCCGATAACGCCGATAAATCGCCGATAAACCTAGAAAAACGATAACTGATTAAAAATCCAATTTATCCTAGCGGAGAGCTACCAAATCCGATAACTCGGCCGATAATATCGATTATCGGCCGATATTTAAAACAGTGGATTGGAGATTTAGGTTTAGGATGGTGAGGAGTTGGGATTTTATAGAAATGAAGAATGGGTCGGGTAAATGAAGCATGGGTATGACCGCATGGGTTAAATAATAGTAAGGGATATAAGCGGTCGGTTCGGGGGGGTTGGGGTGAAAAATTTTCAACCCGACCCGAACCGAATTATAACTAAAACCGAACCGAACCGTTAAATTTCGGTAGGTTCGGTCGGTTTTTTCGGTTTTGACCGAACCGTGCTCAGCCCTACGGAGTGGATCCTCATACTTTTAACGCGATCCAAGATAGTACGATTCATACGCTCCGCCACTCCGTTGTGCTGAGGTGTGCCTGAGACGGTCTTCAATCTTCTAATCCCATGGGATGAGCAGAAGTTCTCGAACTTCTGACTGCAATACTCGCCTCCATTCTCAGACTTTAGGCACTTCAGCTTATTGTATGTTTCGTTCTCCACACATGCAATCCACTTCTTGAAGATGATGAAAACATCTGACTTGTGCTTTAAGAAGAACACCCACAATTTTCTAGTAGCATCATCAATAAAAGTGACAAAGTAAAGAGAATTTCTAACATATAGGACTTGCGCAGGTCCTCACACATCGGTGTGCATCAACTCCAATTTCTGTAGTTTTAGAGCCGATCTGGTTTTATTGAAGCTCACCTTCTTTTGTTTGCCTAAGATGTAGTCCTCACATAAAATCAGATCGATCTTGTTCAGACCCGAAAGCCTCTCTCCCGCGATCATAACCTGCATCCCCTTCTCGCTCATGTGGCCAAGTCGTCGATACCAAGTCATGCAGTCGACGGATGATGATGATGATGCTTGTCCTGCGACAAGCAAGTGGTTGATCTTCCCGTTGGCGATATAAAGAGCCCCTTCGGGTTTGTCGTGTGCCACCACCAAGGCACCTTTGGACACCTTTCAGCTTTTCTGCTCGAAGGATACTCTGTAACTGGAGTCAGTCAGTTGCTCGACTGATATAAGATTTCGCCTGAGATCCGGTACATGCCGAATATCGTTCAGCGTCAAGGTGGTCCCGCCTTCCATCTTGAGGGTATAATTTTTCTTCCCGGAAACCTTGCAAGGTTGATCGTCGTCAAGATAGACTGTCCCCAAATCCTTCTTCACGAATTATGAAAACAGATTTTGTTATGAGGTTGCACGGAAAGATGCACCAAAGTCGATGACCCACGCATCGCTTTTGTCTTTTAGGGATAGGAGAAGCGCATCTGAATCTGTCTCGTGCATGAGATTGGCTACACCGTCAGCCCGATCATCCCCTGCTGATGTTGGAACAGAAACTCTGTAGTCCCATGCAAATTGACCTTTCTTTTCGTATCTGAAGCACTTCCCTTCACTGTAACCATTTGGGTTCGGCCCTTTAGACTTCTCTCTAGATTTCGATTGGTCTCGTCGTCCCCTACCCTTCTTCTGCGCACGTCCTCGTGCCTTGATATGCAAAGCACTCCCACTACTAGAGGCATCAGCTCCTGAGACTTTACGACGAGATTCTTCATCCAGAATTACCCCAATCACTGTGTCGAGCTTCATCTTGTCATTGTCATTGGCGTTGCTCACCGTCATCACCATATTCGCCCATGAATCTGGTAGATAAGAAAGTAACAGAAGAGCTTGGATCTCATTATCGAACTTGAGATCTACTGCAGCAAGCTGTTGCACCACAGTCTGAAATTCATTCAAGAAGTCCACCACGCGAGCTCCTTGTTGTATCTTTAGATTGAACAGTTTTTTCATCAGGTACACCTTATTTGAAGCAAACGGCTTCTCATACAGCGCTTCCAAGACCTCCATCAACTCCTTGGTGGTGGTCGCATGTGATACGTTGTAAGTCACATGCTGGTGAAGGTTGAGCCTGATGGTGGTAAGTGCTTTACGATCGAGCACCTTCCACTTATCGTCATCCATTTTCTCAGGTTTCTCTGCTTCTCCTTGGAGGGGTAGGAAAAGATCATTCTGCTATAAATAGTCTTCTATTTGCATCCTCCAATACCTAAAATTTTGGCCGTCGAAATTTCTCAATTCGAAGCCTGTTGTCTTCAACTGTAGATCCCATGGCAAAAGATTGTCTTTCTCGAACCGTATTTGTGAATAGTAACAGTGCTTGTAAATAGTATCGTATTCGTGAATAATGCCTAGCGCATTAAAAGAGTAAATAATAATCTAACTTATTTTCTGATGTAGAGGATCCACTTTTAATGGCAGCCACAGAGCATACAATAAACAGATATATATATTCTAAGTCAGGCTCTGATACCAGTTGTTAGGGTACACACCAACAATAACGTCTCGAACAGAGACGTAATACACAGAATAAAGGCACAAAAATCAATCACAGTACTCATAGATATACATGGTTCATTCCTTCGGAGCTACTTCACGGTGCAACGACGACGCCAAATTTTTTTATATCCCAAAAGAATAGATCAAAGAGAACACCCTCTCTTGATCAGATACACTCTAAGAACTCTCACAATCTCTCTCTGTGTTTTCTGTCTTACTCTTCTATGAGAGGAGTTATTCCTGAGATGAGCTTTTCTTAAGAGTTTATGATCCTATTTATAGTGTTTGGAAAAACACTATGCACTAATAAAATATATTGATGGGACCCGTCTTTGTGGGGCCCACAACCCTTTTTTTCAAACTTCACCTAAAATTAGGTAGCCAAACTCTCCTTTGTCAAAAAAGTGGGGCTAGGGCTGCTAACACGAACATGTCAGTGGAAGCCGAAATGAGTATGAGCATTTTATTTAAGATTTAACTGATAATATAACTGTAGACATGGTATATGGTTTCAGCAACTTTATGAAGGTCAGGAGAAACAATTTGGGGTCAAACAGGTTAGAAGGTTCCATGCATTTGTGAGCTTTGAAACTTTACTAAACAAATTACAACTCCTTAAGTTCTGTGTGAAGCTATGAGAAAGGTCCGTCGCAAATTTTCTGTGAGTACCAACTTTGCCTCTGCTTAAGGTTATGTTTTCCCATTACAAGATCTACAAGAATCATCCAACTACTCTGAACTCTGGAGCATTGCTAAATCTCTAGACTCTTCTTCCACACACATTAAACCAATCTCGATACTACTATGAGTAAATAGGGTCTCTGGCTATTCAAATTTCCAATAAGTGGGGGAAGGATCAATTGTAATGTTACTTACATTGAACAAGGAAGAACACCATGGCTGAAAAGAATGGATGAGAGCAGCAATAGGAGTTTGGCAGTTGATGATATAAATGTTCTCCCAGAGAGCAGAAACCAGTGAAACAACAGAAATAATCCCAGTAAGCATGTGAATGTTCTCTTTTCATCTCGCCATAGCAAAATATCGGCAACTGGAATAAAGATAAAATAAAGTCCAAAGACATCAAAATGGACGTAAGAAAGAGAAATACTTAAATTAACAGAACTACCATTTCATTTTAACTCCTTTATAAAGCTAAAGTTGCTGATGATGTCTTTTGACACAGAAGTAAATCATAATACTCAGAAGATAATCTTAAATGAAGTTCTATGACCCACCTTTGCCACTGCCTAGCAACAATTCTGCTTTTGATGGTTGGGAAAAGTCTTTCTGTCTTAAATAGGGCAATCCATTCGCTAATTGTGAGAATGATTCTACAGTAACTGAAATACCATCCTGCACATCCGGCAATAAGAATCAAAACTACTGAAACTACAATGTGTTTGCTGCTTTTTCAAACTGTATACTTTAACAAAGCTATATGACCTAAAAGTCAACAGATATTGAATAATAATAATAATAATAATAATAATAATAAGACATCAATATGATTCAACAATCTACTTGACAAATTAGAAATGGGAACACAATCAATTCCTGCAAAACACCCTAGCTCCAAATCAGTAAAGCTTAATATTTTAACGCATAAAGAAGGGTCAGCTTGTAAGTTTTCTAGAGTACAATTTTTTTAAAAAAATCAGGCAGTCAAAATTCAAAATTCCATGCATTAAACGTATCAACATATATCTTTTAAAAAAGAAAATAGTGAGTAAAATATAGGATAGGATCAGCAGAAAGTCGAGCCATGCAAAAGGATAAGTGGTTCAGCATATATGTGGACAACCTCAACAAAAATTCAGAAGCATGCTAACCTCTAAAGAAGTGACAGGCGAGTATCCAATAAGCCTTTGAGCTTTAGAAGAATCAAAAGTCTTTGTACATGATACAACATGCACCATAGCAGGAGTAAGCAGAGGACTGTATGATCTAGACAACGATTTCTGACCAGCCCCTTTAACTAGCACAATAAGCAGCAAAACAAGCTTGGCTGGAAGATGAATCTTAGGCCTGAATTAAGAATATATCATCATCTCCAATTAAGAAATAGTCAACACATACTTTTCATGTAGTTAAGTGCAAGAATCTATAAATATTGGTTTAAGACAGAAGAATAATGCTATAATGAAATATAAAAGCATTTTTGTGCACCCTGTTTAGCTTCACTATGTAATGATAACAATTTAATGGTATGTTTACTATAAGAGTGAACATCATCCTTTGCTGTCTTCTTATTAAATTAAGTGTAAAAATCAAAATGCTTGTATGCGCCTAAGCCTTCTACCTTTACAAGAATCAAATGTCTTCATGTGTGCACAAGAAAAATATAATAGCAAGAGTAAGCAGATATGTCATGAGTCAGACAGACAGAAGCAACTTGGACATGCCCCTTTTAACTAGCACAATAAATAGAAAAATAAACTTGACATGAATGAATTTCAGACCTGAAATTAAGAATATACTGTGATCTCCAATTGTTAAATATTATCTTTTTATATGGAAAAAGTGAAAATCTACAAATATTGGCTTAAACAAGGAAGAATTATGCTATAATGAAATATACAAGCATTTCTTCACACTCTATTTAGCTTTTGCTGCTTCTTGATGACACAAATGGTATGTTTGCTATAAAAGTGAACTTCAACCTATTGCAATTTACATATGAATCAAAAGCTTGTGTGAGAATGTCAACAGAACTAGTTATACAATATAGAAATGAAATGCAGGCAACATTGCTTGGATAGTAATGATAGCACTAGAGTGAGAAACCAGAAAAATTGGTGTCTGAGGGGATCTTTTTTATATAAGGAATCAGATTCCACATCAAGAAGAAACAGAAGCACCACTTATACTTTTTACAACATGGAGATTAGAGTGACCACTTTCAAATCCTTATCATTTCCATTGGTGTAGGCCTACCTACCTAACAACATATATCAACACAACGAAAAGGATACATGTAAATATAGGCCAAAGGAAACACGGGAAAACTTAAACTTTTCTGTGCACTTAATTCATGGATAAATGTACATATCCTACAAGTAGCCCTGCCTGTCAACCCCACACCTTTCAAATATGTACTGCGGCTACTGCCAGTACCAACAACCAACCAGTCATCAGAAGGCATTGTGTTTCATTGCCCAAAACTAATTCACCAGTCCTGAGGCATGTTCATGGATACCAAACAGCTCAAAATATTACAAGTAGCAAAGTATCTGCAAAAACCTACAGTGAGCGCTTAAAACTTCCTTTCATGTGACAATCTATTTAACCAAACTAAAGCTGTTGCAGCTAAAAGCATGTACTGTGAAATAAAAGATATCAAAATTAAGACTGCAGGTCTTATGAAGGCGTTCCTGAAAATCTATTAAAGAAATCCATTCTCACAACCTTGTTGGAAACAAATCACAGAAAAAAGTTTCCAGAGGAGGACATGCACCCATTGCAAATTTGTTCTTTCCTTACAAGCATTTGGTTTTGGAGCGTGAACATGTAAAGTAAAACTTAAGAATCGCAGAAACAACATTGTGTATCAGAAAACTCAGTTGGCTATTCACGGGATAGCAATTGAAGGAAAGGAAAATGCATTCCAGACAGACATGTTCAAGTCCACTGCCTTGGAATCGTGGAGGGACTAGCGTATTCTTGGAGCACTATATGAAATGACTTAAAGGAATTTACCTTTGATATCCCAAACCTTCCAATATGTTAGAATTGAAATCCCAAAACTTCACCTTTTCATGGTCTGTAATGAAAAATGGCTGCAAAAATAGAAATGTCAAGTAAATGTACTAAGGCTGTAAGATCAAATATAGAATCATAATGGTAAGTAAAACTACGAATAATGGAATAATCTCCAAATCAGTACCTTTCCAGCAACTGAAGCTGCTTCTGAACATAGGACTTGCTCAGCACAGATATTAGCATGGGCTACATTCTCCACATAGGTAAAGTTGCACAAATTTTTACCACTTCCAATTATAAACTGAAATGACAAGCATTGCTTAATTACAGAGGTGCAAAATAATTCATCATGGTTGTAACAAGAAAGCAAAAGAAACATATACTTCATTATGAGACATGAAAATCAATGAATATTATCCTTAAAGAAATAAATAAATAAACAAGGCAGTTGGCAAACTGAGAACAATTGAAAGCAAGGTCAACACTAATCAGCCTCATTATCATTATCATCAAAGAAAATACCGTATAAATAAACTTCTGCATGGAGCAGGCCTCTACATTGAGAAGGTTCCATGACGTGGTACCTCTGACTGTGTGAAGAGAGACTATTTTCAGCACAATAGATCCTGTAGTGATAACACTACCTCAAACTACTCAACGTCCTAAATATCGGTTATCGGAAATATATCGGACGGATAAAATTCCTATTGCATCCTGGTTATCGGGGGTAAGTTGCAAAAATCGGAGTGTCATATCGGATGGTGAGCATGTATAATATAATGTCCTAAAATGTAATCTAAGCACATTATGAAATATCGAGAGAGGATCTTCGAGAAAGTATGTCGATAAACGTCTTCAATTGAGAAATTTGCAAGCGATTTGGGGGAGAGAACAGTGAACACGGCGAGAATTAGGTTTACACAATGAGCGGATGTGAAATAGAATAGGATAGTATGGGTTTTGTTTAGTGGATGCGGATTGGGTATGAAAAAAAGAGGATTTTTGCCTCCAAACCTGAACCGTTCACTTAGAATATAAATTGTAGAAAATCAAACAATTTTTAACCCACAAGAAATTGGCCGCTTTATCGGATTTCCACTGATATACCAGGACAAATTAGCCAAAAAATGATATGCAATAAATTTTTGCACAAATCATATCGGCCACAGACCAAACCTTATATATCGGCGATAAATCGATAAAATCGGCCTATATTTAAAACAGTGAAACTACTACGACAATATTGTAACCACTATTGGCAAATGTTGCATAGAATCGGGTCTAGTTCTAAATGGATCTCACAAGTGAAGAGATTTGCATAGGGACAAAGACTTGTAGGTTTAACCGTTTAAGTTATAGATAGAGTCCACCTAGTCCATAGTCCCTAATACAAACAAAGGTTTTGGCATTTAAATCAATGTTACATTTAATAATTAACATTATCGATTTCTCTACTCAGTGTAATATTGGTCAACATATCAATATCGGATTCTACAACAGTATGCAACAATATTTACAAGTTTGTAGCATTTTCCAATCTTTAGATTTTTTACATATATATCAGCTGATACCCGATATCCGCAAAAACAATCGATATTGGGGTTTTCCTTTATGTTATTTTTGGGTTTGGTTTTGGTTTTGGGTTTCCAATCTGACTAAAATACCAAATAACACTCTCCCTTTATTTCAGAAATCACAATTAATCTCACAAAAATTCTAGCCATTTCCTTCTCGCTCCTCTCTCTTGCTCTTAACTGGTAAGCCCCTTCTCTCTTTCCGGCCCTTCTCACCCCTCTCTCTCTCTCTCTCTCTCTCTCCATCCCCCACTCTTCTTCCACCCCTTCATCTCTCTACCTCTCTCTAATCTCTCTCTACGTCCCTTTTAATATTATGCACTTTGAAGGTTTCATGACACAATTGAGAAGAAAATTTCTACAATCTGTTAGTCATCCTAACGATATATCATGATGCAATCTTATGTTTAGAAATCATTAAATATGTTTAGATACATATCAGAATGTTATATTATGCATGAACGTCATCCAATATGACACCCTCATATTTACTGCATATCCCCAACATAACCCTGATTTCCGCAATCTAATATAGACTTTTTATCGCCCAATATTTATGTGATAGCCGATATTTAAAACAATTTCCCCATTTCTTTTTTTTATCATCGAAAGTTTATATATAAATCTCTCTCCTTCCTTTATTTAGTTTCTTACTTAAATTCCCATGAGATTCGAATTTAGCTTCACAAGCAGTTCTTTAGCTTCCCAATATGATAAATTATATTTCTAAAATTGTTTCCATTTCGACACTTTTAATTAGCAAATCTTAGTTTAGCAAATCTTTATATGATGTCATCTTTGTTGTAGTTGCCTTTTGAAGGTGCCAAAAGAATAGTTAGATTGACAACTTGCTAAGGATATAGCAGTATATTAACTCGTTAATGCTTTTGTGAGAAATGTTTTCAACCTAAAGTTACCAACTATGTACAAACTTGTAGACTTTAAACTACAAGTAAATTTATTTTTTTTAAATGCACAAAGAAGTATAAAGTATTTCAATCCAATTTGGTAGTAATTCCTCTTTGTCGTATTATCAGTTTATTCTATAATAAAGGAAAGAAAATATCAAATTACAGAGATAACAGACCTGTACAACAGTAAGAACTTCAAAAGAAAATTTGAGATGATACTACTTATTTAATGACAGGTATTATTGCCAAACCATATGGTGGCAGAAAGTCTCCAAAAAATAACAATAAAAGAAAATAAAGCCCAAAATCATATTATGTATGATATTGTTACACACCTAGAAAGTTTTTCTAACCATCGGATTGCATAAGCAAGAACCTAGAGGACCAAGTATGTAATCTCTTTTATCACCATTTAACATAAATCACCCAATTTATCCATTTTAAATTTCTTTTCTTACAATAAAGGCATCTAACTAAAGTTAACTTCCAACCATTACCGATAGGCTCTCCAGATCCAAGTTCATTTCCGCTATCTATCATCAATTCTTCTTTTAGTTCCTTATTAACTTCTAATCCAGATCGCTCTGACATATGTGCAAATAAATATGAAAAGGGTGTGGAAGTCATCCTAACTCCTCAAACAAACATACTAATTGATAGAGGCAATTAAGCACTTAAGGTAGCAAAATGACCAACCAATATATAACAAAGACATAAGAAATCACAAGTTATAATTTTTTGAACCTTCGCCCATGCTGATTTTGCTTTGGCAATAAGAAATGGCACAAAACAATCATCACCCGGTCCAAATGGATTGCTAACACGCAACACACAGGTTGAGAGCCCATCTCTACCATTAGCATCCAAAACCATCATCTCCACTTGAGCTCTAAGATCATCCATAACATCCATAAACTGCACCAGAAGATTCAAAAATAATAATAAATATAAAAAGTAATTCGTTAATTCTGACCAAGAAGATAATTATAATTATAATTATAATTATTTTTAAAAATGAACTGTCAAATAGTATAGCTTTTTGTGCTTGGTATTAAATACAAGTTACTAAGGGCCTGTTTGGCTTTAATACTACACCAGGGTACTTTTAAGTCATAATATAGGTTTGCCAACCGCAGATTGCAAGTAGCTTAGAGTAGTTTTCTAATTTGTAGTTAGATTTCTCTGTAAACTGCAGCTAAGTCTAACTTTGAACTTAGACAACTAAATTTTTCAAAACTACAAACAAACCTTAGTTTGATATTTTGGATCTAAGTAGTTAAACTACACAACACTACAATTAAGATAACTAATTACAACAAAATACATCTGGAGTACCCAAAAAATGATTGTTTAAAAGAAACCTCGAAGTGCTCTATAGTCTATCCTTCTTGTTCAATTATTATAGTTCCTTGTTTATAACTACTAGTTCAGATGCGCGTGCAATGCACATGGTTGAATATCATGAATTGAGATACACGTGCAATGCACATGGTTGAATATCATGATTATTTAAATTGTTAAAAATAGAGTAAAAATAAAAAAAGTAAATAAAATTTTTTGTAGGATTGATCAACAATTCAATAATCTCTCTTAAATAAAATATTATCATTGTTTCCTTCAACCTAGACTGTGGCTACGTGATCTACTATTTGTGAGTTATAAACACATTAATTTAGTACAACATCTCTATTTATTAGTATCTTAAAGTCTTCAAAAGATGAGTGATCATTCAATTCACAAAATAATTTTGCATATGAATTTACTTGCAATATGTCCATTAAACTTTTAGTTGTAATTTAACTCATATTCATGTTAATTTTTAGTTGATGTTTCTCTCATATTTATATTATCTAATATTCTCATTCAATTTGATAGCTCATTCTCTGTATCATAGAAGTAAATTTGAAAGTATGAAGAATTATTTTCTTACAAAATTAGAACAGAGAGATTATGATATATTTCGACATGTGCTCTAAATATAAAAAAAAATTCTTTGATGCAAGGTCCCTATAAAATCTTACCCCAAACGATGTGAATAAAAAATAATATTATAACTCACTTGTCTAGGATAATTGTATTGTATATAGAATACATAACTCATCTAGAATATTTATATATCCTAAGTGAATTTTGCTGTTGTAAGAGCAACATATTAGAGGCTCGTATTCAATTTTTTTGGTTCTATAAAAAACACAAGAATTTAGAGTGCATAGCTTATATATCATAAAGAGCACATCGATTCATAAAGAATTTTTTCTAATAATGATGTTATTACAATGATATTACTATTTAATATTAAATCAATTTTATTATATAAGATTATATGACCCTTTTTAATAAATTATAAAGTATATATATGGAAACCTTGATGCTTATAGCTAGTAGTTGGGCCCCACAAAATAGGTTAATTTTTACATTGTAGTTTGCTATTTGTAGTACTGTTGGTAATGTCATTACCTTTCCTCTTTATCTTATTATTCACACTTTTCTGATGTAAGTTCTCTTTTGCTAATTATTCAATTGACTATATTTAATTTTTATAATATCAGATGTTAGAATATTCTCTTCTATATAAAAAGTGTTGATATGGTTTTCTTAAAAAATATATACACATAGTAACAATAGTATATACTTCAGTACAACTCAAACATTAGCTTGAAACCATTTAGAGAGGTCTTTTCTATGCTAGAATGGTGATATAGTGATTACATAATCTAGAAGTCAAAGAAGAAATGTCTACAAAGGAAAAGTAATTTAATATGTTAAATTAAGAACTAATTTATAAAATATACATGGGCAGTGCAGATAGCTATAAAAAGTAAGGTATATATCTTTAAAATTTCATAGTGAGTGACCAACTACAATCATCCTAATTTTAAGCATAAATAATTATTATTTTAGTTACTAATTTGTAATGTGTAACTATAAAATAAATCTCTAGTAAAAAATAGGAATTGAGATTGTATTATGCTATAGGTAAATAAATAAATGTTATTAAAGCTCCTTTTATATTGAATTTAAAAATAATAATTTAAATTATTAAGCACCAAATATTAGTTCATGTGAGAAAGTAAAGTAATCTATGGTCTATATATGTATATAGTCAATCAATCAAACATATTAAAATTATAACGACTACAGTCAAAATTATATTATGGGTTCACATTAAATATAATTTGTAAACAATAGTACATTAAAGTCAAAAAAATTTAAATCACTACATAGATTGTCTGAAATTTTTTACATATATAAACTATACTGTCTATGAATAGTGATGTGCACACTTAACTATGGTCTAATAATCTTAAGAATGACTTATTCTTCAATATCATCATTAATTGATGTATATGTGCATTATACTGAAAACACAATGAAAAATTAGAAAACTACAAAATAAAAACCCTCAAAAGTTTTAAAAATGTGAAAAAACACCCTAAAATTTATAATTTATAAATACACAAAACTATTAAATATTACATTGAAATTAAGGAATTACAAAAAAATCATTAAAAATTTTCAAATTTTGGAGGGGTAATTTGCAATGTACTAAACTTTAAGGGTATTTTTTATAAATTTCAAATTTAATAGATTTTTAATTAGTTATGTTCTTTTCAAAAAAGTTTTGAGTAATATTTACCATGAAAAGTTTTCCTAAAGCTATACTTTTAAAAGGTGTATGATATTTTTTTACAAAAAATTTAATTTTCTAGGGGTTATTAGTAATTTTGCATAATCATTTTAGTGTCTATAGGTTAGAAATTCTCATAGAGTTTTTTTGTAAATTTTAAATTTTAAGAAATTTTTATAATTTTTTAAACTTATAGGCCTTTTTCTAAAGTTTGTAACTTATTTATAGACTATTAATACTTCCTATGCTTTCAATTTACTAATGAATTTAAAATTTTTAGGGTATTTTTTGTTTATAGACTATTAATACTTCCTATGCTTTCAATTTACTAATGAATTTAAAATTTTTAGGGTATTTTTTGTAAATTTTGAATTTTAAAGGATTGTTTGTAATCTTTAAAACTTTAACAGTATTTTCTATAAATTATAAATTATGTAGGGGATATTTATAATTTTTATATTTGTAATATACTATTAGGTTAGAAATTATCAGGATTTTTATAAATTTTACAATTTTGAGGGTTTTATTTTGCAATTTGTAAAAAATTCAGAGTGTATATTGCAAATTTTATAAATTTTTGGGGGTTATTTGTGTTATTTGTAGGTTTTTAGTATGTTTATAAGTTTGACATTTTTAAGGTGTTTTTTATAAATTTAAAATTTTAGGGGTGTTTTTGTAATTTTTAAAACTTATAAGATATTTTCTCCAAAGTTAAAAAATTTTTAGTTTCTAGTTAGCATATGTTTTTCAGATTACTCACTGAATTGAGATAAGTAAAAATGTAAAATTCATAATGTTTAAGATGCTTTAATAAAATTTTGAATTTGTAAAGGTGTTTTTGTAGAGGCGTTTATGTTATTTATAGTTTCTAGCTAGCATATGTTTTTTAGATTTCTCTACGAACTAAAATAAGTAAATGATTTGAATTATATGAAACGTATATATTTTATTCAATAACATGTTAAGTTTCATTATGAATAGAATAAATCATTTGGTTACCAATTCAAAGAAAATAAGATAATTAGAATAGATTAGGATAACAATGTAATATTCAAAAAAATCTAATGGTAATATTGGCCATAGAAAGATTTTTCTGAACTCGTACTTTTAAAGTGAGTATGATATGATATGATAGTTATAAATCACCAAAACACCCATCCAAATTCATTGCCTAATTTCGTTACTCCCGCTAAAAACTAGATTTAATTACTTAAATATCAAACATTTTCCCCAATATCAATCGATTTCAAAGAAATTTATCCCATAAAAAAACGAAATGCTTACTTTCTCAGGATAAGGCAATGATTCATCTGCATCAACTAAATCGCCCCTTCCATCAAACACCACATCCGCGCTCCCCGTGTACACCAACTTTTGAACCCCGCACTCCCTACAAACCCTAATAACATTCCTCGCTCCCTCGACCACGCTCTGTGGTTGCTGAGAAAATCGGCGGCCTCGCCGCTAGCGCGGCGGTGCCGCCTTCCGAGTGCGTTAGGGTCCACGAGACACGGTGGTCTATGGACCCCTCGATTGACCCGGTTCGGAGCTCGATCTGAGTTCGTCGAATCGCGGTCTTGTGAAATGTGAAGCGTCCGATCCGACGGGGCTTTGGCCTGGGGGTGAGAGGGTCGGCGATGCGTAGCTCCGTTGCCCAGATCGCCGGCGGCGCGGCGGCGGGCGGAGGCAGCGACGTTGAGGAGGCGCCGCGACGAGGAGCGGCCGCATGAAGGAGGAGAGGCCGAAGGCGACTGTGATGGTTTTAGGGTTTGGGGTCGGACATGGATTTGACTCCATTAGAGAGAGAGAGAGAGAGAGATGAGTTGGTCGGTGACACCTACGATGGTTTTTGGCGCTGAGAAAAACAAGGAAATAGGTGAGCAGTTACTGGGACCCCGAGAAAGGTAGATGTGGAACAGAACTTTGGGCCCCACTTCTATAGGGTGGTTAGAGAGCTAGTATAGGAAGTGCAGATCACTCCATTTCTTCTATAGGGTGTTTGTTTGGTTTCCAAAAAAATAAAATACCCTTCTAGTACCCCTTCTAGTAGTTTAAAAAAAAAGCCTATTTCTACTCTTTCTATGTGTTTCTAAAAAGCAATTTTTTCCTCTCTCTTTGTTTTAGCATGGAAATAGGGGTGAGCACGGTTCGGTTCGGGTCGGTTTTTACCAAAATTTGAACAACCGAACCGAACCACCTACAATTCAAAACCGAACCGAACCATTGCAAATCGGTTCGGTGCGGTTCGGTTCGGTTTGTTCGGTTCTAACTTCATCAAGTATAACTTCACTTCAATTTATCTTTTATATATTCTTATTACCCTATGCCAGCATGTATTTATTTTTTAACTTCACTTCAATTTATTATTCTTGCTCATGTATGTATACTGTTTTTAAGTGAAGTAACTTGTCCTTTTGGATTAAATACTAGACTCTGACGTTGTAATTTTTTAGTAACGGACTTGCTTTGTCTTTGGGTAAACAGGTAAACGGGTAGGGTTTGAGGCAAGGGAATATATTCGGTTGGTTCGGGTCGGGTCGGTTTGAAAAATTGTCAACCCGACCCGAACCGCCTTACTCATAAAACCGCTTTTTTCGGGTCGGTTCGGATCGGTTCGGTCGGTTTTTCGGTTTGAACCGAACCGTGCTCACCCCTACATGGAAACATGGGGACATTGGGGAGGAAAACGTTTTCTACGTCATACTTCTGTTTTGTTCAAAAGCCAAAAATAGGAAACCAATTGGGATGAGAACATCTATCTTGGTATTTAATTAATTATGTTTTACCAACTCCCCCTATCATCCATTGTTTAAATATCAAAAGCTCACCCATTTCAAATCTTTCCCTACATATTTCATCACTTTTTGCGCAGAGGATTGGTTTACTTGCAAAATGCATGGTTTCCTCACTTCAAAGAAAATATTTCTTAAAAAATTTTAGTAAAACACAAATGGAAACCATTGGGAAAATATTTGTACTTTCTGATCATGTCAGAGACTTTCCACCTCTTTCAAATGGTTCTCACCCGAAACAAACACCCGCTATGGGAATAGTTCTAACAGGATCCCCACCTCTATAGAGATGTTTAGTTTAGCTACTTGTTTATTTTTTGGCTACATATTTCGCTTTTGTATAAGATTTGAATATGTTGCTAAAATAGTTAGCAATGATACATGTGAAGGAGAACTTTTTAAAAAAGCTTTTTTAACAATAATTAGCAAAATTATACCTTCCGCTAGATATTTAGTAAAATCAACTTCTTTTTTGCCACGTCATCAAGGCTGGTAAAAAAAGATCGATTTTGTAATATATTCACTTTAAAATATACAGGACTAGTAGTTCCATGTAATTAGAGACACTGATTACAGTTTAATCTGATTCTTCCAATATGAATGAGAGTAGTAGTCCCGTGAGAATCACAAAGAGTTCAACATCAATCAACAAAATACATGAGACTATCAATTCCGTGTGTAAAATAGATAGAAGTTGAATTTACCACTGAAATACACAGGACTATTGGTCTCACGATTCGTTGGATATAAGCACTTTGTTTATGCCCAAATTTCACCGCAGCCCCAAACACTTCGTATTCAACTCAAACTCTCAACACTTCCTTTGTTCGACCTTGAATCATCTAGTTTGTATGTGATCGATTTGTGGATTTTCAGTATTGACTCTATTTAATTTATCAATATAGGTTATTTGTAAACCAATACACTTGATGTGATGTTTTGGTGTATGGAGACAATATGTGTAGTCACGATGTGTTTATCAATTGCATTTTGCTACTATGTTTTAGTTTTGATCATGGAGGGAATATGTATTTATATGTTTATCTATGTATGAAGTTATGTTTAGGAATTTATATGTTTGGATGTATGCATGAGATGAATTGGAAATTTTATAAGCATGTGAGATATTTTTATAAGGTAATTTGAAAGACAAGCGTGCTTGTTTGTGCATGTCCAAAATGTACACATGATTACTAGTCCTTTTTGCACAATACACGGGACTGATAATCCCGTGTATTTACTGACTTTAATTACTTTGTAGCTAAATATTCGCTAATTATAGTTCTATATATTTTAAAAAAAGTCATTTTGCAAAATCGACCTCTTTTGGCCACCTTTGATGATGTGATCATAAAGAGATTGATTTCGCTGATTATTTAGTAAAAAGATCAATTTTGCTAATTATTTTTAAGAAAGGGTCTCTTTTACAAGATTCTTCTACATGTGAGCGTGTTACTGAAATATTTATTATAAGGCTTAAATAAGGTAATTACTTCTCGAATCCAAGAATCGACATCTAAATAAAAATGATAACTATATGACAAATTCTATACTATTTTTGTACTCCTATTGACAAATGTGTAGGGTTATTTTTCGAAAATTATCAACAAAAGATATGAGTCGCTAGGGAGCCCACAATTTTATCTGTGTACAGTTATCATTGCTCACATGTAAATCATACAAATATATGATACCTAAGCATCAGATCACATTAAGGGGGTGTTTGTTTTATTTTTATTTTTATTTTTTTGAAATATAGCATGGATTATAAATTCTAGGATGAAAAAGTGGGTTTTTAGAGTTTTAGGATTCCATAAACTTTGTTTGTTTCAAAATAAATTTTAGGATATTGAATCCCCAAATTATAAAAAACCATTATTTTTTAGAATTTGTGAAATCTTCTCATTAAGAGAGGATTTGGGCTGGATCTCTGACAAACCAAGTCCAGCTCATCAAAACTCTAAAAGAGATTCGGAAATCTCAAAGGCGCTTCCAACCCTATAATCACCCCTTCATTTTCATCTCCCTCCTCTTTTACCCACTGTCTCCATTATCCGCGCCAAAACCCTAGATCTCTTCTTCTCAAATCCACGAATATTGGGTTATATCTCAGTCCTAAGATGGGGAACGACTAGGGTTTTCGCTAAAAGTTCAATTTGGAAGATGATTTGAAGGTGAAAGATTTCGTTTTTGGTGAAATTGATTTGGGGGTTTCTGTTGTCTCGGTCATCTTGCTGATCTAGGGTTTCAACCAAACTTCTCTTAGACCCCGCAGGTAAATCCTATTTTCCTTTCTTTCTAAATTAGGGTTTTGAAGGATTCGATTTGGGTTTGATGAAATTGATTTGGGGTTTTTGTGAAATTGATTTGGGTGAAATATGGGGACGAAGTTGTTCAGTTTATACCTAAATTGCAATTGTTATTCTACGCCGACAAATTGGTTTTGCACAATTTTGCTTGAGTAGATAGGATAAATTAACAGAATGATTTCGTAAAATAGGCTTTCGTTGATGTCATCCAATTATTCCTACACGCCATTACTTGAAAATAATTGGGATATTCTTGATTGGGTTTCGTTGGTAAATTCGAATGTCTGAAGTGTTTTGAGTTCATGTTCATTATCTGCGCATTTGTAAGATTGGGTTGAATTTCCTACACTATTTTAGGACTTTAATTTGCTTTTAGTTTCTTAAAATTTGTAAGATTGAGTTCATCTATTTTATGTGTTTATTAAGGTTAATTTTACTTAACTCCTTGAACATTGTTGCTTACTGTTTACTATCTGAGCACTTGTTTAAGATTGATGCTTAGTACATTGACTCATTATGACTGTGGTCTAGAATCTTTAGCTCAACCTTTCAGTTCTTTAAAAATCTTTAGATACATCTGAGCACTTGAACATTGTTGATTACTTAACTCCTTGATTGTTTGTTTTCAATATTTAGTTGATCTTTGTGGACCAAACTTACTATAATAATATTCATTAAGTAACAATTAGATTCTTATCTTTGTGTTATCATTTTAATGTTTGTCTTAGTGAATACAAGACAATGGTCCAAAGACTAAGATTATCACCATGGATCCAGATCGTTTTGATAGGTGTACATAGGTAAATTTTTTGTTAAATAAGCAAACTTTGAATATTTAGTTATGAGTATAATGATTTTACACTATTTTTTTATATAGGATAAAAAATACAATAGCTCCGTGTTGAATGAATATTTGAACACCCCTCTCACATACACTGAGAACTTGTGTTATATCGTGGGAGATGACCAACCAAAGGGTGATCTCCCCAAAGATATAACTAAAAAGTATGGCTCTAGGCAACATGTCATAGTTGATGAGGATCATATTGATCTTAGTGAAAATGATATAGACTTGTCCTCTAGCTCACATCTTGAGCCCGAAAATTCAATTGGGCAAAACAACAACACTCAAGCTCAAAAATTGAAGACTTCTAGTGGGGTAGCTTCTACGTCAATTAATACATAAAATCCTAAGAAGAAGAGTAGCAAGGCTAAAGAGAATGATCCTCTCATGCGCGATTTCATTGAGTCAATGTCCTACTCAATTTAACATTAACGTATTTTACATTAGAGTCACTACTGCAAAGTGGACTATTGGCGACGGACAAATCCGTCGCCAAAAGTCCAAAATCCGTCGCTAAAAGTTTTAGCGACGGAAAAAAAAGAAATTCCGTCGCTAAAAATCAGTCACTATTGCCAGGGTAGGTAAATCTACCTTTAGCGACGGCAAATCCGTCGCTAATTTATAGCGACGGATATATAGCGACGGAAAATCCGTCGCCAAAGTATAATTTTTTGACGAGGGTATTTTCCGTCGCTATACAATTAACCGTCGCTATATTTTTTGGCGACGGATTTTCCGTCGCCAAAATATTCTTTTGGCGACCGTATTTCCGTCGCCCTATTTCCGTCGCTATATAATTTTCCGTCGCCAATATATATTGGCGACGGAAAATCCGTTGCTAAAAGTTGTTTAGTGCACATCTAGCGTATCAGTTTTCCGTCGCTAAAAGAGCTTTTAGCGACGGAATATCCGTCGCTAAAAATAATCTGAATTTTTTTTAAAAATTTTTTGAAAATAAGAAATTCCTGTACAATATATTTTACAACAATAACCTGTACAATAAATTTACACAACACAAGCACATATAACACATATTTCACGCATATATAACAATTATTTCACTAAAAACATAATAAATATCCCAACATTAGAAATGTTTATAATATTATTTTAGCGACGGAAATATTCCGTCGCTAAAATATAATTTTCCGTCGCTATAAAGCTATTTTCCTACGGATAAATGGCGACGGAAATTCCGTCGCTATAAGTTACGTTATAGCGACGGAAAATTCCGTCGCTAAATATCCGTAGGCAATAACCCATTTTCTAGTAGTGAGTGAGACCATGACGAAGGCTCTAATGGTGCATGAGACTGAGTTTCTTAAGGACACATTGGATAAAGTTCTTGATTACTTGTATGAACATGAATCAAATTCTAGGAGGTTGATCATCAAAACAAATAATGCTCAAAAGATATTTATAGAGAAGATTATCAAGGAACAAGGATTCTAGGAGGTCATATTTTGGGTTTGACTTTTGAAAACTTGATATTTCACTATTTTTGAAAACTTGGTATATCTATTACTTTAGTAAACTCATTGCATATTTCACTACTTAGTGATGTAATATGAGCAGTTATGGATGTGTTGCTAATTATGTAAGTTGAACACTTAGTAATGTAACTTAATGCATATTTCACTACTTTTGCCGACATGATGCATATTTCACTGCTCCAATTGTAATTTGATTTCTTAGTATGGTATCTCCTTATAATTTGGGTTATTTTGCAGGTTTATATATCCATATATTATGATACATGATGCAAATATGGATGGATATGGTACTTGATAACAACCTACATTACATGTTATGCATTGGTATGGCTATTTTGTATTTTTTAATTTGGGCAATGATGATGGTCCTATTATGAGAATGCAATCTACAATGTCCTTGTGATGTTTAGGTACGGTAATCCTAGATGAGAATACAACCTACATTACATTTATAATGTTTGGTGAGGCAATCCATCCATGTGATTGCAATCTACATTGCAATTTCATTGTTAGATGAGGAAATCCATGTTTTCAAATTTTGTACATATATCTGAGCCCCTACAATAGCTAGATATAATTAAAATGATTGGATTTGGGTCATGCTTAGTTGCTTGTTTTTAATGGCTTGTGGGTTTGTTACTAGCTTTTCCCCTATTATTTTGCTTGGGTTATGCTTGTTTGCTTGTTTTTGATGGCTTGGATCATGCTTTAGTTGTTTCAGTGACTGATTTTTTTCATGCTATAATTGATATAAGCTTGGTGGCAGCTTGTGGGTTACAGTTGCACCTTCTTCGTATCTTCATCCTAATTGCTGAAAATGATGTGTGGAGGCTTCTTGCTTGCAAAAAAAAAAAAAAAACTACTCATGAAGTTAGTGAATTGAACTATTTTTATAGTCATTGGCAAAATATGACCGTTTGTTTATCGCCATTGGAGTTTAAATTTGAATGAGTATGATTACCCCCAATTGAATACAATTATGTTTGTTTTTTTTTTTGGAGGTAAGCTCAGCAAAGGTTCTTACATTCACCTATCATTTTTTTGGTAATCCTAAACTTTGTTTGCTACAACTATAGATTTCAAATTCTAAAACTTGTAATGCTACAATTTGAATTTAAACCAAACAAAATATTACAAATTATATTATTTGTTATCCTACATTATTGATGAACCAAATAACATTTTAGAAATCTCAACCCATGTTAAAAAAACCCATGGATTTCAAATCCCATATTAAAACCCAAATCATAAAATTTCAGGATTTGAAACAAACACCCAGTAAGTGAACTTCCAGGAACTGTTCGTTGGTGAGGTAGTGGAGTCTAATTGAAGGCAAGTTGCTTGATGAGCCTTACGAATGCATTTTGTTTGGTGACACGATGTCATGTCCTACGACGACTCAATCCATTTGCCACCCGAAAGCAGCTGGGATAAGACCGCACCAATGTTTCTTTCTCCTCAACTACGATTTCTATAATCATTACATAGCAATTCCTTTTATCTTTCTGCAGTAGTGCAGATGGCTTCACATAAACGCATCATGAATCCTACATTAACACCAACTTCTGTAATATTACCACTGGTTGCTCTTGCAAATTCTCTTCAGAATCCATGATTTAGTAACATCCAACTTTCCGCAAACTCTGTTGTGACCATTGTTTCTCCTTCGAAGATAAATATGCATCATAGAGTACAAGAACCAGCGAGTACAGCAGTACGACCAAAGTTCAGTGTTCAATGGAGTCAAACGTGAATGGGTTTGTGGAGCTGCCACATTATTTGGCATGCGCCACAAAACTTCGACTCAAATTTCACAAGTAGACTACAGAAAACAATAACTAACATTAGTGATAACACAACAACAGATGCATCTCAATTCCTTCCTTGCTCTCCCTTGATTGATGACTACTCATAGCTCATCCTGTGATGGAGTATAGGAATCAAATTCAGATATTGAAGACGAGATAGACAAACTGAAATAAGACGAGGAATGTCGATGAAAAGAGATTCAGAACTTACATGATAATCATCCATATAATCATGGTGACGCTGCATGCAAGCGTTTGAAAGTTAGTAATCTATATATCATGCTGCATTCTACAATATGTTTTCGTTTGATGGTAATAGTAACACATTCTACGTTAAAGGACCGTATGATGGCTGAAAACCAGTCCGTCAGTGTTCAGGAATTCAGTGACCCTCAATAGGTTGGGGATTGGGATCCTCTACTAATGAAAATCTCCTAATATCTCCTAATAAGGAGATCCTATCCTTTCATTTTCATCATGGCCTTTCATTTTCCCACCCATCCTTGTGGGCCCCCCTCCCAACTCTTCACAATTCTCATTAGGAAATATTAGTTATTAGTATATTAGTAGAGGAGGGGGGAGGGGGGGGGAGGGAACCTGACAAAAGCTATGAAGTGGCTTACTTTGCAAGGATAGAAAACCCACCAGAAAAAGCCAATCTTACTATATTTTACTAATAGTTGGTTCTTATTTTATGTCAGCAATAACCACCTAGCTTTCCTATTGTTAAGACTTCCCTCAACAGAGGAACCTAGACGTCTGACGCCATAATTTCATTCTTGTTTAAATAGTTCGGGAATCTCATTCTTGTTTCTTCTTTTTTCTAATGAAATGATCAGAGTAGATACTACCCTTCCAAGGTTTTTGGCAACATGACCTTCATAACTTGAATGGTCAATGGCCAAAGGTCAAGGTTCAAACAAATAAAACATATCAATCCTCTCTACAAAAGCGCATAATTTGATTTTGATAACTAAGTAATAAAAAAACAGACGGAAAATTAAGGATTTGGCATAAACATAAACAAAAAAGAAAATAATTATGCAAGTTGAAATTTTATGAAATCAGAGTAAGGACATTGGGGATTACGGATGTTACAAAGTGTTTAGTTTTTCATCCTGCTAAGAATTCTGAGAAATGTGACGCAATGGAGTGAAAAGGTGAGGAAAATAAGTAGGCAGAATAAAAGCATACCCTTCTATATTTCTCTCTATAACGCTCCTTATCACGATAACGCCGGTCATGGCCCTTCTCTCTTCTTCTTCGTTCACCTTCCTCCCTTGCCCGTTGAGCTTCCTGTGCAAAAATCACCAGTTAATACCACCTAACACCTGCTTAGTATCAGTATCAGTCAGAAGCAAAGTATATATCTACTGGATGGACAGAATTAAAATTGGTTTGTCTTTGTTGAACCCAGGCTTTCGTATAAAGAGAGAGATAGTAGCTATCAGATCAATTTCATTGTTGGAATTCAGTTCAATTTAATTCAGACAACTGCTATTCCCTGTAACCAAATTTCATCTTTCTTATCTCAATGAGTTTCAAGAAAGAGGGTGCGGTTTAATTTGACTTTTCCATGTAGAGCCCCCAAAATCAAGGCTGGATTGTTATCCTTTATCGCCTTGGTCGAGAAGAATTTGGAGGCCAACTCCCTACATTGGATGAGTTTAAATCGCACAATAATGATGGTAGTGCTATTCTCAGTCAGCTGGTCTTCCAGATTTTATGAGGAGATCCACTTTCCTATCATGGCTATGGCTAATGCATTGAGTTGAACCAGGCCAATGGTTTTCAAGAGTTCAGTCGTGTGATATATGGAATATTCTCAAATCTATACTACTATATTAAAATTCTAGTGGGGGTATCCAACTTTTAAAAATGTCCTTCATCCCTCCTTTGTATAGTTCTTTTCTTAAGGGCAAAATTGTCATTTTGCCCAAACTTACAGCCATTATTAATTTAGTGGTTTAAAATGCTATTCTTTCTCCTTTTCTTTCCTGCTCTTACCCATACATTTGAGATGGGAGTACACTTTACAGAATTGATGTGATCATAACAACCTAAATATGATACTTGGTAATAGAAAACTAACTCTCTTTAGAAGGGGTTATTTAAATATTGCTCCCTCAAATCTTCAATAATTGTATATTACTTACTCAAATCTTTGAAATTATTCATAAGTCCCTTAGATCAGAAGTAGTGCAATTTGGTTCCTCAATGACTAAACCAACCCTCATCAAATTTTCTTTTGAAGGGTTATATGCAATTTGGTTACCTTTTCAAAATAAAATAAAATTTGACACTCAGATACCTTAAATGTTTGCATCTTTTGTAACTTCAGTACCGCAAATGTTTGCACCTTTATTTTTCTTGAGACTTTGTAAAAAGATTATTGATTCCATTTCTACATCTATCATAGATCTACCATATTGATGTATTAATTATTTTTTGACGTATTCTATTTTTAATTAGAGTTTGAATGCACTATTTTGTTTTCTAAAGTAATTTTAATTATTGCACATGCATTGCTAGTTCTGTAACACTAGTTTGTAGAATGCTCCTTGCTAGCTTGGCAGGACATGACAATTATGAATCTTAAGCAAATTAAGGCCCACATATAATCCACACCTCTTCTTCTTTAGCTCGTCTAATCTTTTCTGCTTCCTCAAAGGCCTCTTTCTCAACCTGAATGATTGAACAGAATAAACAACTAACTTATTAGATGATGAATCATAATGAAGATTAACAGCAACAGCTACAGAAGTATTTGCCTCATGCTCACCTCTCTATTTCTCAGTACAGTTTCTTCCGCAACCTGCTTGGCATATGCTGGATCATCACATATTAGAATGTTGTCAAAGATTGAACCAGCCTTCACCTGTTTATATTAAATAATTAAATTTCATGTTCATTTAGATGAAATAAAATATAGTTATCAAAGCAATCTATTAGACATATTTACCTGCCATACTTCAATGCCCACATATTTCAATGGTTTCAGAACATATAGATCAGGATCATCTTCAAACTCTGTCAAAAATAGAAGAGGTAAGTTGGTGTGGCAGACTTTTTAACATAGATTTTTCACTGGGCCCAGTTAGGAAAGGTTGTAGCGAGAAATAAGACTACAGCAAAAAAACTATCAGCTAGGATTAATATACATGGGTACGTGTGTGTGTGTGAATATAGGTGTGAATGCGTGTCTCTATGTACACATGTATGTTATGGAACTTCTCTACTGATAATGGAATCAACCATTTCTACAGAAGCATTGCCATGTACAAAATTGAGATTTTGATAACCCTCAGAACATGGCTATTTCGTAAAAGAGGCAATATGCAAATTAAAATTCTAGGCCTACCATGGGTTAGCCAACTACATTCTTAGCCACAATAAAAATTTTCATCTAGTCCTTATGTGGAAAAAAATGTATTCCCAAGCCCACTCATAAATATACTGTGGCAACTCAAAGTTCTTAACGAATGCGATTGACTGACCTGGATTGTCAATCCATGGGATCCTCCATTTTCCCTTATAGTTTGGGTTCTTGATCCTCTGTAATTCATTCATTTAATATATAAGAAAATGAATAGAACTTTTAATGGATTTATAAAGAATAGAATTCATAAGTTTGAACAAACCTTGCGCTTCCATGTCCCTTTATATGCTGGATTCGGCACCTTTGGCGGTCTCCAGATGCCATCTTCGTCCTCATCCCATGAAGCAGGCTGATTAAAAAAAAGACACTCAGCTCTCATATTATTGAAAAGGATGCCAGTTGATGATGTATAAAGTCAGCATTTGAGGTTTCCCACGGAGAGGGAGGGAGGGAGGGAAGGAGGGAGGGAGGGAGAATTACTTGAAACTAAACCATGTATCCGAGAAATATAATTCAGAACAGGAACAACATAACTATTCGTCAATAACGCAACTATGTCCGTGTATTTCAAGGAATTGGCTTACCTTTTTAGCCTTTGGGTCAGGAATTTCAGCCGGGATCGAGTCATATCCCTGCAGTAGATAGGCATAATAAGAACCAGATCATGCAAGCTGTGAAGAAAAAACATTAATTGAAAGTTCGTTAAAAATACCTCAGGTTTAACATCATTAGGATCATCAATGTACTCCCGATCATCCCAATCCTTAGGCTGTTAACATACAAAACAACATTCACGCAAGGTTTACATAGACAACTAGCATAGTGATTGCATAATTAAAAGCTCCAACCTTTTTGGCATTGACATCTTTAATCTTTCGAGGGGGAAGAATATCCCAGTCAGTATACATGCTCCCAGATTCTCTTTCACGGTTATCAACCAGTAAACTGTAAGTGGCATCAGGCCTAAGGATAAATGTGTATACATGCATTAGTTTGTCTGTCTCACATTGAAGGTCTTTCTTGAGAGGATAGTTCTGTCCTTGGTACGAAACTATGAGATGCAGCTTCTTCGTCTGTGTACCACATATATCAGGTCCAAACATTAAACTGCATGGCAGCAATTGTGAACAGTCAACAGGCATAACCAAATCGAACAGAAGAAAACATTCAAGTAGGAAAAGAGAATAATAACGACAGAAGAAATTTAGAATTGCTTTCTGTATATTCTTTCCCTTGCAAAACCTTGAACAGAGAAAAGATCTCCCAAAGAAGCATGTTACACGCGCGCGCATATAGAACAACACAATGAATACACACTCCCAGCCGGCCCCTACATGTTCTTTCATCTTACAAAGCCTTTATAGAACTTACTAGCCCAAAGAAGTATGTTCACGCACACACTCACAAGACATGTTTAAGAAATCATGTTAAGGCCTACAAATTTCGGAAGACATGCCAAAATGCTCAGAGTCATTTTGTAGAACAATATACTTAGCAAATGATTTACTATAAGAACGCTTAGTTATCATTTTGGAACAACGTTGGTAGATCCATTCTGGCTTAAATCTGTTATGGTATGATTATCCAATGATGTAAAAACATAATTACAGAAAATTCTTGGTTACTTGTAGTGGAGCCGCATGTTGCCCTAATTACAATGCAAAACCAAAAAAAAAAAGACACGTGATATATTGGAATTTTTTGTGAGCATAGTTGTCCTCTAAATCATGTGATGGAAGTTGCTTGCTTTGAGGAAATTTCTTGAAAAGCTAACAGTAGGCATCATTATGCTCGTTACTAAGCTTGTTAAAAAAGACAAGATAGACCAGAAGCCTTTCCGCTCAGAGTGTGAATTCATCACGAGAGCAAGAATTAGGCCAAGAATTAGGATCCATTCTGTAAAAACAAAACTTCAAAAGGAGCAAACAAAACACTTCTAAAATTTCGCGTAGAACCGAGAATGAAGTTTTCAAATGGCAAAAGTTACAAGACACCTTAGAATATATGGCTAACATCAGCAACACCGACATTTTTATCATAATGTTGACTGATTTTTATTGTAATGAGTACATAAAGTACATAAAGAATGGTTGTCATCCAACGCTTTGATGATTTAGTTCCAAACAGTAGATTACAAGTCCAAATCATGCTGTTGGAGTAGCATCTAGTTGGACGTGCACTACTTCAACTACAAGAAATCAAACACATCCTACAAATTGCTTCCTGAACTGCTGAATAGTTGAGCAAGGATAACACAAATAGCTGACAACTTAGTAATGGGGAACAATGCAAGGGCTTTGATCTGGAACCGAGAAAACAAGAAAGTTACCACGTTGAATAGTGCAGGGGTTACTGTTCGGCCATGAACAGTACTCCACCTTTTTGGTTTTTAGGTTTTCTTTTGATATTTTTGAATGATGGTAATCTTTTGTTAAGAGGATAAATGACTAAGATGTTTGAGGAGTGAATTTTGGTTGAAGGATATTATAATTAGAGGGCTAGGATAAAAGAAAGGCCTCACACCCTGACACTTCACATGTCAAAATTTTAGCACTTCACATGCTAAGAAAGATTTCACATCTCAATAAATTTTCTTTTCATTAATCAGTAGTCTAATTTCTCATGGAGGATTACAACCTTGTTTATAGAGAAAAACTAAACCTAGAAAGTAAATCAAATCCTAACCAAATCGTAATAAAAAGGAAGAAAAAAATAAAATCTCTAACAAAATAAGTCTTAAAGATCCTAATAATCCAAAATCTAATCCTAAGGTGATCTTTACCTAAAATTGGAGATTACATTAAATATTACTGAAATAACAAAGATACCAATAAATCTATAAAATTCCTGATCAAGGGCTAACAATCGTCTTGCATCACTTAGTAGAGCAGCACTACATATGAAATGTTGCCTCACTAGCAGAGTTGTAGCTAGCACTTCTAGTTTCGGGTGACGCATGACTGATTTATTTAAGGCGTTCTGCCAAAGATTCTTGAACCTCTCAGTTAAAAAAAGAAAAGGTGTCAGATGCATAATGCAAGTGAAAGATGTGAGCAATTCAGATAAAAGCAAGTTTCCTGAATGGAGAAGATTCTTGAACGACATAGGTTTTTTGTCAAAGAATATCTAGCAGTAAGAATATTAGAAGTTAAGGTTGCGGGGCAGATGAAAATTGTTCAAGACCTCTTTTAAATTGACAAACATTATTAGGGCACACCATTGCCTTTAGAAAACGTAACTAGGATACCCAAACTAGAAGTTGAAAATTATTCTACGCCCACATATATTCACAGATACTAGGTAATAAATAGCTAACGAGCCTAATATGTGTAATCACGACAACTCTGTAAGTCATCAGCTATTCTGAATGGCAAGGTCTTCACATTGGATAATCTAAAACAAGTGTGATTAACGAGTATTATGTTGTATGCACTTCTTCAAATATAAAAATCATGTGTTTCTAGCTATGTTAACTGGGTACTTCTATTATGGAGCTATACACATACCCGATATGTGTCATACCCGTACCCTGTACCCAACACTTCTTGAACACTCCTTAAATATATGCATATATTTCCTTAAATATGTGCATATATTTATGCAGACCTGCACTCAATAATACAATACATGTTTAATCTAAAACACTTGTCATACACTTCTTGGATATATATCCTACACTACACATCCCTTGTTTGTAACTTGTTAGATAAGGATCAAGTGCATTTTAGCCTTAAGGGCTACGACTTCAATTGGTTATTTACATATATAGCTCAGAACTATGATTATATCTCATGAGTTTCAGTTGTGTCCTGAACCCGCAGCCATACCTGTACTCACACCGTACCCGTGCAACTTAGGTCTCTAGCTATTGGTTGAATAATTTAGTGTTTAGAAGAAAGGAAGCTATGAGGATCGTTAGGGTTAGTAAATTTGTTTGTGCTGTGTCAGGAAGCAGGACATCATGAAATCCTTGCCTGCTTGAAGCTAGAAACAAATAATTTTACAGTTGCCCTTTGGAAAAACGTAATTGCAAAATCTAAACTGAATATGCTAGTATATTATATCTCCATATAACTATTAATAATTCTTAAATACTGGGGAATCAATAACTGGACCCTAATACATATGATGTCCACTTCACCACTTTATTTCATTCAGCTATTCTGAATTGAAAGCTCTGGACTCTGGATAAGATCTCAAAAGAAGGAAATCAGATTAATTAGAACTAGGTGGCATGCATGCTTGTGTGGTTCTAATAAAGTACTTAAGAGTATACCAGAAAGGAAGCGTGGAGTGATCAAACCTTTGCTACTAGAAGGGACTAGGGAGAAAAATAATCAGCATATGACTTATAGATGTACAACACATGGATAGGAGAGAGAACCAAAGGAATTACGACAAAAACTAAACCCAGAGATATCACTTGGTACTTTATTATCAATTGTATGTGAAGAGGCAGCTTGCAAATGAAGGAGAGAAAGAAGTTATGAATCCGAACAGTTAGGTGGAGAAATCAGCAGTTGGATAGAAGGCAGTTCTTCTTTCTTTCTCTTGTGGGTTTTGAGATAAAACTCACACAGCACTACATGTCCCATTTATAATAGTTGTCCCCAGATTTCTTTATGGAATGCAGAAAAGGACTTTCACTTTCATCTGTAGAGATTTTATTCTACAAGTCCTAAGTATACCATCCAAGGATAGAAGGCAAAGGGTAAGTCAAAGTTTGGGAAAGAACAGGTAACAGTAATAAAAAAAACTCAATAGAGTAAAATCTATATCTCATAACTTAGCGAACCAATATAAATGACCGACCTGTATGGAGTATCACCGCCGAATTTTTTCTGATTGACATAACCAGACATAAGCTTAAGGTAACCACCACCACATTCAATGTCTTGCTCGAATTTTATAGAATACTGGACAACCAATGTCCTGTCTTTGTTAGTGAATTCTGGAATTTTTGCAGAAATTGAAAAGTGCTTTGCATCTGGATATGTCTGGATGCCTGAGAATAATTTGCAGATGCAACCAGTTTAGTATTCAGTCAGCCAATGGACCAGCAGCAAAAGTAGAAACCCTTAACATGCGAAGCTAAGAATCCTTTTCTGAGAATCAAGATAAAGAAACATAGAAAAATGAAGCAGTTACAAATTGTATCGTGCCTTTGTCATCTGGATCCCCAGGCCATTTTCCTGCTGTATGCTTGAATGATCCAGCTTTTCCCTCACTCCTTTTCCAGTCTGACTTAACCCAGCGGCTCTGCCAACCATCTTTTGTGGAAGAGAGACAGATCAAAATTAGTGTGATGAAAAAAAGGATTCTTCAAGTCAGAAGACCACACTGAACAAGAGAACAAATCTGACATAGTGACTACAATAAACAAACAGACATACCGCATTATAAGAGACAGGAAGGTTAGAAAATGGACTATACGAGCATAAACCAAATTGGTGTTATAATAATAGGGCCTTAAAATGAACCAGTTCAAACCATTTTTTTCACATACTACAACAACAATGAAGCCTTTATCCCAAAATTTTGGGTCGGCTCATATCACTATTAACATCTCTCTCTATACTAATAGGTTTTTAAGCATATGGTCAATATCATACATTTTGTAGTAGATTCTGAAAACATTTCTCACAGATCACACAGGCCACAAATTTATTACTCCACATGCTTATTCCTTTATGGTTGCAGTGCTCAGACCACTGACAAGAATCCCCACCTTTTTTAATTAATATTAAATAAGACCGTCAAATCTTTTTTCAGCAGATATCTATCCCATTTTCACCCTGTAACTGTTCTAATTTCCAAACAAATTAAATGAGAAAATGAATCCTCCAATAGTTAAAGACTTCCGCACAATGCTCCAAATAATGGAAGGATAATATGAACTACACTATGATTCCTAACTAAGTTTGTACCATTTCGAACAAAAGTGAGGGTTCCTTTCTCTTGAATTGCTATAAAAAATGATGAGTCATCAAGGACCCCATACTTCAGTTTCAGGTAGTACAAAAGTAGTTTAGAGATTGTAGTCTAGTTATCACTTCTCATGATTGAACTAACCGGCCACCAACACTAAATAGTTATAACCCCAATTTCTTTCTACAGTTTAGCCACCAGTTCGTAATACTCTGTACATCCAAAACACTCATTGGTTGCTACATCTACTGGGAATCAGGAATTTATACCAATAAACAGCTATTCACGGTGACTTTCCATTTCATTTTCCATTCAGTGAACAGCATATTCATCACATCTTCTAATAAACTTACCTCTATTTTTGGTAAGCGGATAGCTTCCTCGACCTAACAACCCTATTGATGAGATAAATGTTTCCAGTTTCACAACTAAAGGCATTCTGACACGAGCCGTAATAACTAGACCCACAACCCCTAAACTACTGAGTTGCTAGAAACAAAAGTCTGGGATCCTTGATGACTCAAATTCTGATAGCAGCTCATCAGACTCCACACTTTTGCTTGTAGCAGTACAAAAATAGTCTAGAAATTGTAGTGCAGTTAATATTATCCAACTCACATGTTTCAGGCCATCATCATTTGCCAAACTGGGGGCAAAGGCGCATATAAATAAATTTCCACAAGAGGAAAAACGAACATCGTACCAGAGAAACCACTGATCAAAAGTAGAAAATCTAAGAAAAAGGGCAAAAGAGTCACTCTCCTATCTTACTGCTTAAATAAGTCCACGAATTCAACTGGATCACTCGCTATTATTATTCAAAGATGAATCCATCAGATCCTACAGCTATCGTCATCACAATTCCTATTACAGCTGATAAATTCACTCCATATCCGATTAAAACAAGAAATTTGAAGTCACAAAGAGAGAGAGAGAGAGAGTTGACCTTCGAATCGCTCTTCGAAGATGATCTCGGAGCTGGAGAATCTGAGGAGAAGAGCGAGGGAGAGTATAATAAGCTCAAATTTGTGCTTAAATTTGAAGTGGGACTGAGAAACCCTAACAGCTTCCGCCATTGTTTCCGGCCGTCGAGATTAAAGCGGAGACCCAGGAACACTTCATTTTATAGATGGGAAATTCATTTAAACGCCATCCGATGTAGAGGAAAACTTCAGTTCTGCCACAGGACGGTCACCGTTGACTTCGGTTCAACAATAGAGATAGAAATAATGAGGGGGGTAGTAATTTGTTTTAAGCTGTGAACTTGTTGTGCTCTGATACCACTTGCGGTGCGTCGAGGAACCAAACCAAACACTAAGAGAGAAGGCAACTCAAATCAAACACTAACGGCACAAACTCAAACACAAAGTTTAACGTGGTTCGGCAAATTGCCTACGTCCACGAGACGAGAAGGGGAAGGGTTTTCACTATAGAGAAAGAGAGTACAAAATATAGATTACAAAGATCACTCAAACTAACCTCTCAAACAAAACCATCAAACAATTTGCTCAGAAAAGAACTCTTTTTTCTGTGCTCAAAACTCTCCTTCAAGCTACCCCAAAATCGAAGCAGGTCCAGACCCGACTCGCGGTCGACCGCCGCACCCATCACGATCGACTGGATCCAACGACCGAAACCAAAAAAACGCTATAGGGTTTTGTCGGTCTACCGTCACGCCACTTGCGGTCGACCGCGAAAAGTCCAGAGACTTTCTCTATGCTGTGCACGTTCGCAGTCAACCGCAGTACACTCGCGGTCGACCGTGCAGCATTTAAAATGTTCTCTGCTTTAAAAATTCCGAACTTCGACGCTATGTGGCGAGTTCTACACTCGGTGAGTGAGTGGGATGGAATCGAATCGGGGGTAATTCTGTAGTTTTTCTGAAAGGAAGGGTCACTTTGTATTCTAGTTGTTGTCACCACTTTCAAACACGGCGTGCTCCTCTCTTGTGGACTTTTCTGCTGTACTTGGGAGATGATGACGGCACATTAATGACGTGTTGAACGTCCCTTCCACCAATCACTATTTTACACGTGTGCTGATTAACACAAATTTACCTTCTTCCTTTTTCCCGCCTTCCTTTTCTTCTTCAGACTCTACATACATCCAAATGAATTCCAAAAAAAGAAAAAAAAAGGAAAGAAAGTCCTCCATCGATCAGCGTTTCTTTAGGCAGAGAAACAGATGACTATGAAAATTTATAATATAATGAGGACGGAACTTAAATTTCTTATATAAATACGTAATGATTCGTGTTTTTTATATCTTGGTACGATGAACTGCTTTCGTTGATATTGCAAGTTCAGCGGCACTGCAAACAAAACAATTAAATGAAACACCAACCCCAGTCATTCTTGCTAATTAGTCTTCTTTTTTTTTCTGATAAATAATCTAATTTTCTAGAATCATACCGCCTACTTTGCAAAATAACGCATCTTCCATCTTCAACACGCTACAAAGAGTTTTCTCACAATAACATTTTCTTGACGGCAAGCAATATATTCCCTGCGACAAGGCTGCAACTATCAACACAGCACAAATCAATACAAGGAGCACACATCAACAACAATTTTTTTTTATCAATAGTTGCTTATATAAATAGAGCAAAAACACTATAAAACCTATATATATGTATTGTTCAGCTCATAGATGCCGTGTATTTATATTTGAGGTAAGCTTTGATGAACTGTTCCAAGTCTCCATCCATTACGGAAGCAATATCTGATGTCTCACAGCCCGTTCGAAGATCCTTGACGAGTTTGTACGGATGGAATACGTAGTTCCGTATTTGCTGCCCCCACTCAGCCTTCACCGCATCTCCGCGTATCTGCTTTATTTCGGATGCACGCTGCTCCTCAGCTATAACGAGCAGCTTGCCTTTTAATCGACTCAGGGCTTTGATCCTGTTGGCTAGTTGAGATCTCTCCTCTGAATTATAGTCAAAGAAGCGGGTCGGAGATTAGGACATCAAATATATTGATGAAAATTTAATTTTGCTTTAGATTAATCATGAATTGAAATCTAGCTAAATCCATCATTCAAAGAGTTCAAATCTAGTCAGAAATAACAATTTTTGGGCATTTCAGCAGTTTCAAGTTCAACTAATGACATTTTTTGGCTCAATAAGAGGGAGGAAATGCTATAAGATTTCTAGCTGATAAGAGAAAGATCCACCAAGAAGGCTGAAACCTCTCATTGCATGGCACTATGAGAATTCTAACGCATGTATCAAGAGATCACATTGGTAAGGTTTATGCTTACTAATAAACCATGGGAACTTGTAGTGGCAGGGTTTTTTAGATGGCATCAAAGCAACCCAGGTTCAATTCTCACCGGCCATAAATTTAATGCTGATTTATAAAAAATAAATTGATACCGCGTCACTCCACATTTTGGCCCATAAAAGGGCGCTCAACATGCAGGGGGCAAGGGCATGTAAGAGTATAAAATTATAACTCTCAACTCTCACTACAACTTCGGAGTTCTGGTATGGTGGCTGGGACTTTAAAAGCAAGTAACTTCCAAACAGCTAAAGCTGTTACAGCAGTTCTGGTGTAGAATTCATATGCATTTTCATAACAGTAAAGCATAACAAGGTTCACAGCATGAAACAAGAAAGTTTCACCTCTAACTTTATAAATAAACGTTTTCTTTGTTGTTTCAATAACATTTAGCTATTTTTATGAATTTGGAGACTTAAACCAGTCAGGAGAGGCAAACCTGTACAACGAACTGCAATCCCAGTGGGGATGTGAACTATTCGGACAGCTGTTTCCACCTTGTTGACATTCTGCCCTCCTTTTCCCCCTGCTCTTGAATAGCTTATCTCTAGATCATCGTCAGGTATTTCAACGTCAGTAGAATCTTCAGGAAGAAGAGGCATTACCTCAACACCAGAAAAACTTGTCTGCAATTGCGAATGCAAAAATTTTCAATCATTTCTGTCATTTTTCTTGATCAAGAAAACTCTGAATTAAGAAAAAAGCATAGACGATAAATAGCAATGATGAGAAATTGGATCTATGCCTAAATTGAACCCAAAAAAAGTGAAGCTAACAGCTGCATGACAGCTAGGAAGTAGGCAATGATTTCATAAAGACACAGAAGGCGAAAGATAGTAGTAACTAGTAACCTTGACACTGGATAACAAACTTCAGTTACCTTAAATCTGAAATGAGTAATGATGCAGAACAAAATTAGAATTATAGTTTTGGAAAGTTAGGAATTGGTTTATGCAAACCAACTAGAGTTAGGAATCTGTTTTCTATTTCCTTTTTTAGGTAGAATAGTATAAATAGGTTGATTTGTTTAATTGTAAGACAGGAAGTTATTCAGAATTCAACCAATATATTACATTGTTTTCTCGTGTTCAAAATCCTCTTTGTGGATTCGAAGTTTCTCGACCGGCGTTCTCCGTCAATTGGTATCAGAGCCAGAGGTTTCTTCTTCACTTCATCCTCCCTAACGTTTGGGACGACGAATTGAGAGAAATCACCCTTGATTCAAACCCTTTCCTGCCCTTTTAAGTTCAGCCCTAACTACAAAAAAAAAAAAAACTCTCATCATGCCAGGAAGTGGCGAATTTGTCACAAGGATCGAGTTCGAAGATCTAAAAACGCAAATTGATGACAAGTTTGCTACCCACGAGAAGAATTTGGATAAACGTTTCGATGATTTATTCAAACGTTTTGATCGTTATACTATTATCGACAAAGAAGCCGGCAAACAGGTCCAAGATGGAAGCTCCAACATGCCTGCATCAATTCCTTTTTCCACACCAGAAATAGTCTACTCAACATCGCCTCTTCGTACAACTACCCAAAGTACACCCTCTTTCAATCTTTCTGCAGTTCCAGGTGAAGTTTCACACTTGTTTTCGGGTTCTCATCGTCCCACTCAGTACCTTCACAATCCTTATCAAAATATTACTCTTCATCAAAATCAATCACAAATTAGTTCTTTTCTTGATCCTAACAATCGAGAGAATGACATGATTGAGGAAAATTGGTACCAGAATCAGTTGGACACTACAAGACTCCAACAGGCTTTGAGACAACATAATGGACAAGGTCATTATGGATCAATTGCTGAGTACAAACTTAGAGCGGATATTCCATCTTTTGCTGGAGGTTTCAATACAGAGGAATTTCTTGATTGGGTTAATGAAGTGGAAAGATTTTTCGAGTTTATGGACATACCAGAGGAAACAAAGGTGAAGTTGGTTGCTTACAAACTTAAAGGTGGTGCATCTGCATGGTGGCATAGCTTATCCGTTCAAAGGTTTAAAGAAAATCGACCACCAATTCGCAAGTGGGAGAGTATGCGTATTTTGATGGAAACCAAGTTCTTGCCTAAAGATTGGCGACAATAATTATTTCTCAAACTGCAGAATTGTCGACAGGGTGCTCGTTCTATTGAAGTTTATGTGACTGAATTTTATACACTCCTTGCTCGCAATGAAATCCAAGAATCACCTGCACAGTTGATTGCTCGCTTTATTGGAGGGCTTAATTTTCCTATCAAGTCCCAGATGTTGGTTGCAACTCACACAATGGAGGATACAATAGAGATGGCTTGTCGTATTGAGAGTAATTTGCGTCACCCATCCTATACCAACAAATCCAACACCCGCTACTACCACCAATCTTCAACATCAGATAACCATCAATTGCCTTCACAACCTCACCATACTACACAACTATACCCTGCATTTAATTCATCTCTACGATTTCGTCCTAATTTTCGCTCACCATATCCTAATACTTCAGCATCACATTCATCCATTCCTATATCATCTTCCAATGCCCAACCACAAGTACCTGCTCAACAATCTTCATCAAATCCTACCAATCAAGCCCGACCACCTAAATCAACCAAGGACTATGCACGATATAGAGGTGATAAATGCTACAGATGTTTGGAAACAGGTCATTATGCTAATGAATGTCCAAAACGTCGAGGCATTAATGCTTACGCAGGTCCAGCTGAGTTTACAGGTGATGAGGAACCTTCTTATGATGATTATCAACATGAGCATACTGAGGAGGAGAATGGTTATGAACTTCATGAAGTTGAAGGTGAACCGTTAGTGGCTATTTGCAGACCATTGTTCCTGACAAAACCAACCCTTTCACAACGCCACAATATCTTTCAGTCTAAGTGTTTCATTGGAGGTAAGGTTTGTGATGTAATCATTGATGGAGGCAGTTCTGAAAATATTATTTCTGTTAAGGCAGTTGCGGCATTAAAATTACCAGTTACTCCACATCTGATCCCGTATTCTATTGGGTGGATACAGAAAGAGTATTCTACAAGGGTTACTAAGCAATGTGAAGTCACATTCTCTTTTGGAAAATATATAGACAAGGTTCTGTGTGATGTTCTTGATATGGATGTTACACATTTGCTGCTTGGTCGACCATGGCAATATGACATCAAGGCGGTACATAATTGCTTTGCCAACACCTACACTTTTTTCAAAGATGGTGTTAATTTCATTTTGACACCTTCACGCTCTTCTAGTGTTAGTGTTCTTGAAAGTGACAAACAAACTCTCTTTATGGTCAATACTATTCTACATACTATGCATAAGACACACACTTTGAATTCTCATGAAGAGTTAAAACCAGATGTTGAGATTCCAGATAAGGTTAAACCTTTACTAGAGGAGTTTGATAAATTAGCACCAGATGAATTACCAAATTCTTTACCACCACTGAGGGATATTCAACATCATATTGATTTTATTCCAGGAGCTTCATTACCCAATGATGCTCATTACAGGTTGAATCCAAAGGAGAACGAAATTTTACAAGGTCAAGTCCAGGATTTGTTACAGAAGGGTTTGATTCGTCATAGCAAAAGTCCTTGTGCTTGTCCTTCCTTTCTAGTGAAAATAAGAGATAATGGATGGCGAATGTGCATTGATTGTCATGCAGTGAATAAGATCACTATTCCATATCGCTTTCCAATTCCGCGTATTGATGATATGCTTGATATGCTTGTTGGTTCTACTGTGTTTACCAAGCTTGATCTTCGTAGCGGATATCATCAAATTAGAATCAAGCCAGGAGATGAATGGAAAACTGCGTTCAAGACCAGTGAAGGACTTTATGAATGGCTCGTCATGCCTTTTGGCCTTTCAAATGCTCCTAGCACCTTTATGCGTCTCATGAATCAGGTTTTACAACCTTTCCTTGGAAAATTTGTTGTGGTTTATTTTGATGACATTCTTATCTTTAGTCACAGCGTTGAAGACCATCTTTCACATCTTTGGCAAGTATTCAAAGTGCTCAGTGACAATGCCTTATATGTGAATTTAAAGAAGTGCTCATTCATGACAAATCAGGTTCTTTTCTTGGGTTATGTAATATCAGACAGAGGTATACTTGTTGATGACTCAAAGGTAAAAGCAATCAGAGAATGGCCAACTCCTACCTCAGTTAAGGATATTCGCAGCTTTCATGGATTGGCTACTTTCTATCGTCGTTTTGTGAGAAACTTTAGCTTCATTGTTGTTCCCCTTACAGATTGCTTAAAGAATACAAAGTTTGCGTGGACTGAAGAAGCATATAAGAGTTTTAATCTTCTCAAAGATAAACTTTGCTCAACCCCAGTCCTTGCATTACCAAATTTTAGTAAAGTCTTTGAGATAGATTGTGATGCTTCAGTTGTGGGTATTGGCGCGGTTCTTTCTCAAGAAGGTCATCCAGTAGCATATTATAACGAGAAAAATCCAGAGGCGAGAAAAAAGTGGTCAACTTATGAACTTGAGTTATTTGCAGTGATTCAGGCTCTCAAACAGTGGCATACATATTTGATACACCGCGAGTTCATTCTTCACACTGATCACCATGCTTTGAAATTTCTTCAGTCGTCTTCCAAGGTTAATCGTATGCATGATCGCTGGAAAGATACATTGAACAAATACACTTTCTCCATCAAACACAAATCTAGAAAACTCAACAAAGTTGCGGATGCCTTAAGCCGGCGTGATGCTTTACTTGTTACAGTTCGTAGTGATATTTCTGCATTTGATTACTTGAAAGATTTATACGTGGATGATATAGATTTTTCAGATTTGTGGTCTAAGTGCTCTTCACAACAGACAGGGACCAATGATTTTCTCATACATGATGGTTTTCTTTTCAAAGGAAATCGTTTGTGCATTCCTCAAGGATCTTTAAGAGAGCACATTATACGTGAACTACATGGAGGTGGACTTGGTGGCCATGTTGGTCGTGATAAGACTATTGCTTTGGTGGAAGAAAGATATTATTGGCCCTCTTTGAAACGTGATGTTGAGAAGCTTGTTAAACGATGCTTTACATGTCAACAAGCCAAGGGCCATTCTCAAAATACAGGTCTCTATACACCTTTGCCGATACCAGATGCTCCTTGGGTTGATGTATCTATGGATTTTATATTGGGTCTCCCAAGAACCCAACGTGGTGTTGATTCAGTTATGGTTGTTGTTGATCGTTATTCAAAGATGTCACATTTTGTTCCTTGCAAAAAAACATCAGATGCCACCAACATTGCTACTTTGTTCTTCAAAGAGATTGTACGTCTTCATGGGGTTCCTAAGTCTATTACTTCAGATAGACACAACATTCTTGAGTTATTTTTGGAAGACTCTATGGATGCGCCTTGGAACTTCATTAAAATTCAATAGCACTTGTCACCCTCAGACTGATGGACAAACTGAAGTTGTTAACCGTTCTTTGGGAAATTTAATACGTTGCTTATACGGAGAGAAACCCAAACAATGGGATCTTATGCTACCTCAGGCCGAATTTGCTTTCAACACCACTGTGAATCGTTCTATAGGGAAGTCACCATTCCAGATTGTATATTCAAAAGTACCTAATCATGTTCTTGATCTTGTTGTGCTTCCAAAGATCCCAGGCTTAAATGAATCAGCTGATGCCATGATTGAAAGTGTTTCTAAATTACATGCTGAGGTGAAGAAAAATTTGGAAGTGTCCAACTCCAAATATAAGGAAGATGCAGATAAACACAGGCGAGTCAAGACGTATGAAGTTGACGATCTTGTTATGGTTCACTTGCGTAAAGAAAGATTTCCGACAAGCACTTATAACAAGACAAAGATGAAAAAGTATGGCCCATTTAAAGTTCTCCAAAGGATCAATGCCAATGCATATGTAATTGATTTGCCTCCAGAGTTTGCCATATCAAGGACTTTCAACATCAAGGACATATTCCCATTTTATCCCGAAGATGACATCTCAATTCCAGTAATGAACTCGGGGTCGAGTTCTTTCGAAGAAGGAGGGAACTGATGCAGAACAAAATTAGAATTATAGTTTTGGAAAGTTAGGAATTGGTTTATGCAAACCAACTAGAGTTAGGAATCTGTTTTCTATTTCCTTTTTTAGGTAGAATAGTATAAATAGGTTGATTTGTTTAATTGTAAGACAGGAAGTTATTCAGAATTCAACCAATATATTACATTGTTTTCTTGTGTTCAAAATCCTCTTCGTGGATTCGAAGTTTCTCGACCGGCGTTCTCCGTCAAGTAACCACACTATACAAGACATTACACTGAGTTTGGTTGTATATAGTGCCACGGAGAAGAACAAAAGCTTCTGGGAGAGAAAGTAATTCCTATTAACTACCAAAACATTCAGATTATTTCAACAGTTAGCTTTGAATATCTCATTTCTTTTTCTTTGTTTGTAAGTTTTGAACTATATATACATAGCATTCAAATTTTTCCATGAAATACTGACAGTTAATCTGAAAACCTTTAACAATAAAAACAACTTTCACATTATCTGCCCTTTATAAAATGTCAGCCAACAAGTGTAATAACGAAAGAGCAAGTCCAGTAAACTTCACGTCTTCGTCTTTTGGTAGGATAAAACAGAACATGTTACAGAAATGAAACTAATGAGAACCAGCATAAACAATAAACACAATTCTTTCTGCAGAATTTCATTGCCAATACTAAGAGCATGGAGGATTCTTTATAAACAAGGAGAAATGGTTACCTGTCGAAGACCTTTTGAATTGAAGGGAGACTGGCGAACAATTCGGTGAGTTCCTTTCTCCCCCGAGAGATATCCATAAGCAAAGCGCCCTTCTATTTCAATAGTAGCTGACTTTATTCCAGCTTCTTCTCCCAAAGATTTCTCAACCACTTTTGTCTTGTAACGTTGCTTCTCCCCCCATCTTACATACATACGTAGAAGCATGTCAGCCCAATCCTGCACTGAAGTTTAAGGAAAGAGTAAAACAAGGGTGTATAGAACCGAAGGGATAATATGTGAAAAATTCTGACATGGAAATAAGGCAGATAGATTTCATTTGGAAAGGATAGAGTCAAGAGAGATAAATGTTTGATTTGGGTATTTACGCATTGACATGTTTAATGGCCTATAAGTTAATTCTAATAAAGAGTTGAAACTTAAAATAGTAAGGTTCTATATGCAACAAATTCATTTCAAGAATATACAGTCATTCCATGCAAGTTAGTTTGTTAATCCTAGTGCCAAATTTGGGTGCACAGGAAAAACATCTTCAGGTAATCATGAACCCTCATTAGTCAATATCATATTATGATCATTCAGCTTGCTCTAGTTAAATTGTAGGCAAAACTTCAATGGAGATCCTAATGTATTGGCCAAATCTCATTTTGGTCCTTAATGTTTGGAAGTCATCAATTGGGGGTCCCTAACTTCACCTCTATCGTCAGTCTAGGTCCTTTATACAAACTTCCGTTAAATCTTAATGACGTGGCAAGGACATGGCCCCGCCATGTCAGCAAAAAAATTAGTGAAATTCTAAGTGGTTCAATACAAACTTGTAATTTCACTAACTTTTTTGGTTATGTGGCAGGACAAACTTAGGCTTTCACTATTTTTTTTCTGACATGGCAAATCACGTTGTTACCACATCAGCAAGATTTAACAGAAGTTCGTAAAAAGGACTTTAAGTTGATGACAGAGGCAATGTTAACCCCCCCCCCCCAAAAAAAAAAAAAAGAAAAAGAAAGAAAAGACGACTTTCAAACATTAAGCACCAAAGGATATTTGGTCGATACATCGGGGGCTTACACTGAATTTGTCCCTAAATTGTAATAACTAGCCAATATCAGACAACACTGGGAACCAAGTAATTCTACATGCAAGCACTCAGAGGGCAATATGGAAAGGGAAAAGAAAGTAAGTAGAACCACTTAGAATTAAATAAAAAGACATGAACTTAGCAAGCATAAGAAACATATCTCATTAGATGTTCAAATTAAAAAAAACAAATTACTACTTAATTCATAATTTTAAGAGTAAACATGATATGAACACCTTCCTAAAATCAAGAAAAGATTATCACAATAATTCAAATTTGAGAAAACAAGCAAATGAATACCTGTGCATCAGTACCCCCAGCACCAGCAGTGATAGTAACAACAGCTCCTTCCTTGTCATAAGGACCAGAAAGAAGCTGAGTTAGCTCAAACCGATCAAGTGCCTTACTCAATTCTCTAATGATTTTAGAAGCCTCTTCAAGAAGTGCAGTATCTATGGAATCCAACTCCTCAGTCAGTTTAACAATTGTTTCAGCTTCTTCAACCTACATCAGGAACATGTTAGCCCTAGCACAAAACTCCCGTAATCAACTATCTGACACATCTGAAAACCAAAGTTACAGAGAAAATTGAAAATTAAAACAGATAACTGGGGATTTATGCACAGTAAATATGCAAAATACTGTTGTTAATTTTAAAAGGAACCATCATATGAGCGGTTTAAGTAAGCACTAGGGATATGAATTCAAAACCTGGGACTTGAACTCAGAGAGCAATTTAATTTTATCTTTGACATCAGTCAAGGCGAGAAGTGTTTCTTGGGCTTTTGAAGGATCGTCCCATAAAGAACTATCTGCAGCTTTCTTCTCAAGTAAAGTTCGATCTGCTTCTAACCGTTCCAAACCGGCAGAACCCGTGATCTCCTCAACATGTTTGGCAGTAGTTTCAACATCCTTTCTCAAGGCATAGAAATCTGTCAACAACTGAACCATAAGAAAAATGACCAAGTTGTACTACGAAACTCTATAAAGTGATTGGAAGAAATTAAGGGGATTGGAGAAAAGATATATGCAGGAAACAAGTCAAAATAGAAAAGTGAAACACAGATGCTACAAACATGCTCCAAACTATAGGAAGGGTGCACAAAACTACAGGCACCAAAAAAAATCGCTGATAAGTGATATTCATGCGTAAAAGAAATCATAGTAAAAGAGAGACTGGCAGAGTTGTTTAAGGATGGGAAATATCTAGTTCTCCAATTAGACTTCCAGTAATTTCCCAGAAGAACTAACGACGGGATACACTGTTCGACCTAATCAAGGTTGTATAACTGATTTCTCTACCATACGATAGGTCATATAAAGTTTCAGCAGAAAGTATGTTTTTAATTCAGGAACTAAAATTAAAAAGGGTCATTACAAATAAATACCCCAAAATTTAACCCATTTTTGAGATGAATACCGTAAAGTTTCAGATACTTATAATTTGATATCTTTCGTTAGCCACCAACAGAAAACTCAAACTCATAGCTGGTATTGATTATGAACAGATGACCCTTTGAATAAATGAATTCCCAGTACAATAACTTTTTAGCTAAAAAAATTTGATTTGTTTAAGCCTGAGCAAAAGAAAAACATATCAACTTGCCAACAGGGAGCAAAAACATGTATCTAATAGTATCCTTGTGTTTTTGTGTTGCACGTTCAAGAAAATAGTTTTAAGAAGTTGACCAGATGCAATCTGTTGATTCTTCTTGTGCATGTACTTAGCTTCGTTAAAGTTCCGCATCCCTATCCTCAATTGATGCCATGGTTGAGCAAAATTCAAAGTCAATTACCAATCCCGCTGTCAGATAGGTTGCCTTTGTAATGATTAGGATATAGGAGCATGTAATATAGTTATCAATCCTACTATGTTTAATCTATTTCCCCTAGACTTTAATTACATGCAGTTATTTAACATATGGGTAAGAAAAGCTAATACATTCTATGTTTTAGTTTGCAAAAAATGTGATAATGATCATTAAATCCACAGATTAGCATACCTTGCATGGCCCATTCAGCGGTTTCAGAACTAAGTCCCGCACTTGATTGGCTTCCAGTGGCTGCAAGCTGAACTGAATTAAGAAAAAGTGAGAGTATTTGAAGAAATTTGCAAGTAGGAAACTGCCAAAACTAGTATATCAATACTAAGTCTATCTGAATTAGTGAGCCCGAAAGAAATTGACACTATTCTCAAACTCAAGAACCACGCAGATTGTAGAAACACAACAATAGTACTAAGAACAAGAAGCATATGAAGAAAATCGTACAAAAAGGAAGCTTGATTTACTGTATCACACAAAATAGTTTTATCGTAAAAGGCGAATAAGATCAGATTTTGCACATAAAAACTGAAAACAATGCCAGAACTATGAGGATAAATGGTAAGGACAGCAAAAGTTCCTTCTAGAGCATTATGTCATTGTCCTTCTACTACGAAGTACAGAAACATCCAGTTTACTTTAGATATTGTTAATGGAATCTAATGGTACTCATTTGAAAGTTTTTGAATCTATAGTGCAACTAATCAACTACGACATTAGAGATGTGAAAAGTAAAAATATATATGAGCCATATAAATATTGCAATATACTTATAAGAACTGAATAGGTCAATACATGAGAACACAGGTTAACTAACTAGTCTTGGAACTTCCTCATATACCAGTACCATGACATCCTTCTTCGTTTCACGCAAATTTTCTGTATGAAACATTGATATGATGCATCTCTATTTTGCACAACTTTAAATTTGGGTTTTGAAGGATTCAAAATATAGAAGCACGGTGTGTGCATTTGAAAGTACGCAATCAGCTCTAATGCCTTACAGATACAACTTATGGTTTGTTGGATTGTGGAAACGGGAAAAAGAAAGGATCCAAATTTTAACATTCAGAAAGAAAATGGACCAGGTACGCCATGTACTTAGAAATAGTTTTCAACAAGCCATGCCATTAAACTCTAAAAAAACCATTTCACTTTTTTTTTCTCAAACAACTAATTATACAATTTTTTAACTTCAAATACATTGAAACTGAATCTAAAGAGAAAATGTTTCAGTATGCCCATGGATTGTTTCTCTTTTACATCATGGCTTGTTTCTCTTTTACGTCCTTCAAACTTTATAGTGCAAGGTTACCTCATCCACTTCCGATCTTCATGCCTATAAGTTAATACCATATCTTTATCATTGATAATGCTAACTACACTAGAAGATGAACATGTGCTAAGCACGGCACCGATGTATGTGCATTACCCAACTACTAATCAAGCTAAATTCCATCTTTTGATTATCCAAAAAAGGTGAAGCTAACATACTTCCTACATATAAAACACAGTTATAATAAGTAGACCATGTCATATACTTGGTCTTGGCTCAGGTATCCTTTTCAATCTGAGTCACCCTAACCAGACGAACCATGTGAAAAAAATAGAGCAAAGAAACAAACCCCATAAAAAAGAAGTGTTGAAGTATTTTGTATGAAAAAAACATTGAAATGCATAATTAGCTTTCTAGCTTCTACATTAGTACTATATACTTTGGAAAAGTTTAAGGGCGCTCAAAAAAAGATTTACAACATACAGTTGTCCGAACTTGCGTACGGAAGAAAGCTACCCCCATCAAAAATCCAAATTTTCTAAACGGCAAATTGCGTATCCAAATTCGTGACATGACCCACTACGTACCGCATGCCCTGTAACTATGCCCTAAGCTCATCCACATAAGTTCCCTAGATCCTAATCCTAAAATCGAAAAAAAACCCCAGAAGATACTTGGGGCATTTTTAGCAATGAAAAAAATAAATACAACTAAATTCACAAGCCAGTGCAAATAACAAAAAAAAGTTACAGCAACCAATTTGCATCAAAGAGCAAAGAATCACAAAACCCATAAAAAAAGGTGAAAACAAAAGAGAAAAAGAGCTCACCAGGGAGTGGAACAGGAGATGGGCTGAATGGGTTTCTTGAGGAGGAGGGGAAGGGGGAGAGAGAATGGTGAGCTGTTCTTGCTGCTGCCGCTGCTGCTGCTCTTGGTTTGGATTTGAGAGTGGAGTTAATGAAGGAGGAGAGTGGTGAGATTTTGATACTGGTGGAGCAGGATAAGGGGGTGCGGTGCAGGGTAAAGGAGGTTGGGGAAAATTGGGGAAGGCACTCCATCGAGGGAGGTGGAGGGATGGAGTGAGAAGAAGCTGATAAGCTCTCAAAACCTCTGCTTCTTTGCCAATTACGGGTCGAATCGGATCGGGTTCGGGTAGAAGTCGTTTCCATTACTAAGAAAATATATTAAATGTTTAAGTTTGGCGTTTTGATTTTAAGTTTGAGGACGTGTTAATATAATATCTAATAAAATATAATTAATATATATTATTATCAATATAATTATTATATTATATTATAATATATTATATTATAGTTAATCTAATATATTAGTAATATTTATTAAATAATATAAATATATAATAATTAAAATATCTTATATAATAATATAATAACATATTAAATACTAACACTTAATATGTTGATAATGTATTATATAATAATAAATAATAACAAAATATAAATAAACTAATAAAAAATTATTGATGATAAATAATAATATAATAATGATATAATAATATACGTACAATAGGGGGATTATAGGAAAACAACCTTCGAAGTTCAATTTACAAAACCACCTTTAAAATGAGTTTCAGTTGCAATCAATCATCTACTTATTTTCTAGTGAATTTTTAACTTGGGCTTGGTTTGGTAAGGGATTTTAGGGGTGGGCAAAAACCGAAAAAAACCGGTTCAACCGAAAAAACCGCCCGAAAAAGCGGGCCGGTTAACCGAACCGGATTAAATGGATGAGAAGAAGGCTCTAAACCGCCCGAACCGGATTAAACCGGTTTGGATCCGGTTTGAACCCCTAAACCGCCCGAAATAACCGACCCGAATTCTCTAATATAAATAGTTAAAAATCCCTAACCCATCTCCATTTCTGTGAACAACCGAATGTGAGTACAATTCTACCGTTCTCTTTGAGCTCCAAACTGAGCGCATGATCCTCTTTCTTTCTTGATTTCTGGTGTTTTCTGTTACTGGTTGCGATTGATGCTTAGCAGATACATGTCAAGTTTCGATCTCGTATTAAATGTTTCTGTGTATATTAATGATAGCTCCATGCATTTTTTTCCTTCCCCATATTAAGTTAGGTTTAGGGTTTAAAGAAATCTGGATGTGAAGAAACTAATTAAGAAGGAGATGATTGCATGTGGAGGATGATATAGGCATTTTAAACGCATAAATTCTCAAATATACTTGTGCTGAAGGAAACACATTTCTCTTTTTTTTTTTGTAGAAACTAATACATTCTTTCGAACCTTTAAACTCAATAGAAACACGCCAAAGCCTCGAACCAAATAAGTACAGTACGCTCCGAGCCGGGCCGACGTTACGAACAAGCACATGGAGACCCCTTTCTCATGGATCCCTCCGATAAAACTGCCAGCTTGGTTCCTTGTAGCATCAACACGTCACTCTGATCATCCTTCGATCTCCCTTCGTCGCACTCCAGAGCCTTCTTGGAGATCGCCCCGTGGATTTCCTCTATAAGCATTAAGAACGCGGTCTCTACGTTGTCTCCGGTTAGCGCTGATGTCTCTGAAAAGAACAGCCCCTGTTCCTCTGCAAACTCCACTGCATCCTCTTTAGAGACAGCCCTTCGACCGGTGAGGTCGGCCTTGTTCCCAATTAGCATGATGACCAAGGAGTTGACTTCAAACTTGCCTAGATTTTTGTGAAATGAAGTTAATTCGGCCCAAAACCGAAACCGATCCGGCCCGAACCGAATTTCGGTTGGACCGAATATTCGGATGAAGGGAAAAAAATCTGGATCTGGATGAGAGTTTTGAGACGAATTTCGGTTGGACCGAATATTCGGATGAAGGGAAAAAAATCTGGATCTGGATGAGAGTTTTGAGAATCCGAAAAATTCGGAGAAGGGAAAAAAATCTGGATCTGGATGAGAGTTTTGAGAATCCGAAAAATTCGGATTGGATGCGGATTGGACTTAAAACCGATCCGAACCGAATATGCCCACCCCTAAGGGATTTGAGGGAAGGATGTGCAATCAGGTGAAGGGATTGACATCCTTTAAGCCTTCATGCTTGGTTGGAGAGGGAGGAGAGCGAATGTGATTACTTTGGTAGTTTTTCTCTATCCTCTTGTGTCCTCTCAATTTAGAGGGACTCTTCTCTTTGTACATTTTTGGCTCATTTTGTGGTGTCCCTCCCTTCACCTCCCCTCCACTCCCATCACTCTACCTCCCCTTTCTAAAACCCCCCAATCAAAGGCAAGTCTAATTTTTATCTCATCCCTCTTACCAAATCAAATCTTAAATTCCTAAAACACCGTTAAAATTTCATGTTGCAAGTACATGACATGCCTTCTTAACCAAACTTAGTGCTTGACACGTGTTTTGAAGGGTATTTCATGATTTTAGTTGATAATCCAACAGAAAATATATTAAGATCATTGATTGCAAGTGGAACTCTCTTCAAAGGTGTTTTTTACTTTATATAAAACTTTGAAAATAGTTTCCGTAAAATCATCCATTTTAAAGGTGGTTTCTATGAAAAACCATCTAACTTTCGCCTTGTCTCCAGATTCTATCACTTACCATCCACCATCCACCTTTTCTAGATTAGTGATAATTGTACTAGTACGCTAATACTACTTCTACATTATAAATGTGAGAAGTGTGGAATCTATTCTCTTTCACTTTTTTCGAAATTAATTGACTCATCAAGGAAGCTAACATTTTTCTCTCATATAGCATAGAAATAGTATAAGAAAGAGCACTGTAGTTATCATTTTTTTTCCTTTTCATTTCTAAGGATAATAGTTAGAATCAATTAGTGAAACCACTATTTTTATTCATAATAGTGTATTAATTATTTGGATACAGAGAGAATTCAAATACTTGCCAAAACAAAACAACTTATTAAATTTGATGAGAGAAGAACTAAGCATGGCTTCTACTCAAAAATCACTAGAACCATGGAGAGATTTATAAGAGCCTATTTACTAAAGGGTTTTTACATGAAAACTACCTTTAAATTTGTCAAATTGACAGATAGCATATTTCTCTCTTTTTTTTATAGGAAATAACCTTTAAATATGGTTATTGTGTAATGTCACATATTTTGCTGATTTCTTCTTAAAAAGACCCTCTCTTCCAAACATATCCTCACCCTAAGCTGATTCCCTCTTCTCTCACTCTTATTTCTTTCCATTAAACCCACGCTCTAGTTTTAGAGAAGAGAGAAGAAATTGAGAAGAAAGATTGGCTTTAAATTGAAATTCCCCCATTATTATTTGTTGTTTCTCTTTCAATTGGTAGAGGGGTGTTTTGAGTTTTCAATACCTTCTGAGTTTTCTGGTGTTGCTTCTTCTTCTTCATCCTCATATATGGCAGATCAAGGGAGGTGGGGTGTCAATGCATGCAATTTGAGGGCTTCAATGCCAATGTGGAAGACAAAGGCTAACCCAATGAGAAGATTCTTCATCTATCCTTTCCCAAATCCTTTGATTGGTGATAGAAGATGTGAGTTTGCTAAATAGTATGATAGAGAGATTGTTGGGAGGCCAAACGAACTATTGAACAAACTTATTACTGAGAATAAGAAAATGAAGGTAGATAGCTTCAAGAGATGAGCAAGGAGATTGAGGAGATGAAAGATGAAAGATGAAAGTAAGAACTTGGCAATTGAGAATAAACAACTCAAGGTCGAGCTTATGTCACCAATCGAAGATCAGCATGTGCTCAGGGTGAGGGTATACAATAGCCCCCGTTAAAGGTGGTTTTCATAAATACAAAAAAAAAGAGGTAAATTGTAATTTCCATCAATTTAGATAAAAGTAAAGATGATTTCCACATAAGAACACTTCGCCAAATACATACAAACCCTCGGATGGAATCTTAGATCACAAGCGTAGGAAGTCACTTATCTGTATCGTAAAATTAATTTTAAATTTTAAACTCATGTAAATGGTGTGTAAATCGGATGGAATGGAACAGAGCCCTTAAAAGACTGAATAATAGTACCATCTGAAATGAATTTACAGATGTCCTCAATATGTGTTTTTGTAATAATGTATCTCATTATTACAAAACTCTTAATTCATCAACTAAACATCAAAGACTTTATTCAACATTTACGTAGAAGACAATAACAATCTTGAATTATATTTCTTGCTCTGTTCTAAGAAATTGAAAAATCATCAACTCCACCTAACCCCAAGTCTTTGAAAAGAATAAAAACAACACAATGAGTTCATAACTCAATAAGTGGATAAATTTATACATTAAACATTGGTTTTGTAAAACTAAAATAAATTGACTTGATAAGCATAATACTAAAATAGTAAAAAATTATAATGCAAGATTTTTAAAATATATACATGCAATGGAAATAAGCAGATCACGTCTCAATGCGGTCAACACTTCGATACTCTGGTTGACTTGGCAAACCCTAGTATTATATAGCTCGTGTTAGGTCTCATGAGCCTATTATCTAATATTATTTTGATGATTAACAAACAATTCCTAATAATGTTTTTTGAGTATTTGTATTTGCTTGTTAGGCATCCTACACAAACATCCTCTGTTGGAGGTTGGAAGGATTTGCGCCTTAACGACGATATTTTGGAGGTTGGCAAAAATCGGAATGAAGCCATCGCAATTCAAATCGAGATACATTATCGCTTCATCCCGCTACCAAGATCGAGCTTCATAAAATATTACATGCTTTGTATAGTGTTATAGCTTAGGTGTTTACTTTATGTGTTATACTTAAAAGCTCAAATCACACACACACACACACGTTATTTCGCAAGACGGTCAAAAATACGATTAGCCATATAAATATAAATTAGTTTTCAAAATTCATCTATTTGGGAAGATAACGTGTTTGAAATAATTTCATCAGAATCATGTGTTTAACGATTTCGTATCCTATTGATTCTAATAATATATAAAATCATATTAGTACGTTTTGCAAAATAATGAGTTTTCACAAATGGAAAATGCTTTTTTTTAGAAATTTCTTTTCTAACATGTTTATTTTCATATATATATATATATATATAAACATTTCCCTAAGTTTTACTATTTTTAGAGTTAATTTGCTATTTTAATTTGAATTTAGAAAATCAGCTTTTCAAAATTCAAGTTTCTGTGAATAGTATTTTAAGTCGACCGATTTTATTCATCGGTCGACCGACCAGTGTAGTTTTTATAGTCTGTGTTTTACATTCGTATCAATTGACTGACTACAAGTATCAGTTGACCGAATAGTGTTTTTCAGTCGACCGATAAAATTCATCAGTCAACCGATCAACGGCTAGTTTTCTGTAACAGCTAGTTTTGACTGCTTTGTTTGAGAGGCTATAAATAGCCCTCAAGTCTTGGTTTTTCACTAAGAGTTTTACAAGATTATTTCACCAATTTTTTTCCTAAGTTTAAGGGTGTTTGTTTGTGTAAAGAAAGTTTCACAAAGAGAATGATCTTAATTTCGGTTTGAGGCGTTCAACCTCAAATCTCTATCTCTACATCTCTTTGTTTGGAGAAGTTTTCTAAACTCATTCTCTAGCTTAATCTTTGTTTTGATTCTTATATATACAAACTAGGTTTACTTGAGTTTGATTTTGTTTTACTCTTTATTTTCACACACAACCAATTAATCTTAACTATTTCACATATAGTATATTTGGGTTGTGGGGTTGATTCATTGAGTGAGCTTTCAATTTCTTTCTCATTTGTATTAGAGAATAATATCTTTATTTGCACTTATTGTTGAACACATTGTAATACGTGAGAATACTTAGAGGATTGGTTGGAGAGAGACCTGGGTTAATTCCAAGAGGAGTGGGTTGGTAGTAAAGCCTAGGGAGAGGTGGTAAATCCAAACACTTGAGGCACACACAACCAATTAATCTTAACTATTTCACATATAGTATATTTGGGTTGTGGGGTTGATTCATTGAGTGAGCTTTCAATTTCTTTCTCATTTGTATTAGAGAATAATATCTTTATTTGCACTTATTGTTGAACACATTGTAATACGTGAGAATACTTAGAGGATTGGTTGGAGAGAGACCTGGGTTAATTCCAAGAGGAGTGGGTTGGTAGTAAAGCCTAGGGAGAGGTGGTAAATCCAAACACTTGAGGAAGGTAACACGGGTAGTCCAACACTTAGATGAGTATGTCTTGTGGGATTGACAACGTGTAGATTATAAAAAAAATTCGGTGAACTTTGAAAACCGATTGTGTAGTTATTTGAGATATAGTGGTGTTTGGTGGAAAATTTGTGAAATAAAAATGAAAGAACTGTGTTTGATTTTATTCTCTCTAACTGTTTAGAAAAAAATATTTATAACTCTCTCAATCTCGATTACAATTTGGATTCTTGATTACAAAAGAGAAGAGAATTGATCTGAATTCCCCCCTTTGTTTAATTCTGGGTTCTTCACGGTAGCGATGAGATGCCTCCCTCGAATGCTTGCATCGAGTTTGTTTCTCATTAACGATCCGAACGTGTTGTTTCACTAGAACATGTTCTTCTCCTCACGATTTGACGCTATGGAGAACTTGTAAAGCAAGTTTTAGAACTCTGAATGAGTTAGGGAACTCTGAGCGAGTTATAACTCTATGGAAGAGTTGATTGATTTAACCGAAAATTGGTTTGTAAGCCAAGT